ATTAAATTGTGAGAGTCAAACCGTATATTCGATTATTTTTACACTATCCGAAATCACGGTTTTCTCAAAACATACGGTCTCAGATGGTTTATCAAAGCCGAATAAAGGATCTAATTTTCATGACTTCATTAAACAGGTAAAACTGTGATTTCAATTGTCGTGATCTGCCACAGCTTCTTAATCAAATTTTCTCTATGAATAATTCAAGTTACAGTGAGTTGCCAAGGGACTATAACTTAATTTAAAACATTGAGTCAAAATGATTAAAATAGATATAATCTGTTTTAATTTGAACAATATGTATGAATTAAAAACAAATCAAATATAGCAAGCAAAATAAGCATATAGTGTTGAATGTATAGGTAACTGTTCAATGTTACTTGGAATACGTACAATCATTTTTCTACGATGTGTTGCATCCGATGTAACGAGTGGCACATATTAAACAGGATAATACGTTTTATTCTCTTTTGGATACTTCCTAATGTAGTAAAGACTCTGTTTTATGATTATTCGATAGGCAATGATTTTGTACGACAAAGTTGTTATCTTCGTTTTTATAATAATTTTTTCTTATTGACGTAGAATTGAAAAGATTATCACATACTTAGTTGTCAAACTACGACGGTTAAAGAAAGGAATAACTAAATACATGTCTCAGAATTTTAGGAAAAAAAATTTCTGTGACGAGAAAAACTTTGTCATTGTAGGTTTTTAATTGAGACCAAATTCAAACTTTTCATTGTTCAATATTTTAATTTTACGTCAAAAGGAAAAAATACAGTAAAAACTAAGTCAACAGTATCGAATAAGCGTAAAATACAGTCTTTACTATATTGAGAAGTGTTCTAAAGAAAGAACAACGTTTTATCTCGTTTATTATGCGCAATTGGTTCAAATATCAGTTATCACATTCAGTAGAAAACTGTATCGTACACAATACTTCTGAAGACATTGCAATCAACAACAATGTTAGATTTATACTATTGACATACTGGAACATTGTTCAAAGTGCTGACAATGTTTACGCGTTGTGTTTTTCGATAAACATTTTACTAAACCTGCTCTTCAATTACTATATAAATGTCAACGAACACGACTAAAAGCTTCGTTGATAAATATCATTAACATGTTTGATCAAATAACCGTATGAGTAATGACAACATCATACCAATCTTGAGGCAGACACATTCGAAATTCTTTTTCTTTCTCCTATCATATTATTCATTGATTCGTTCGTTTCATGTTCAAAGTAACATATTACAAAAGTGTTTGAATAAAGGATCTAGTTTGAGGCCAAACGACTATCTCTATAAAATTAATCCCCTATAAACATTGATACATGACTAGAAATGAATATTTCTTCGACGATATACTTTCAAGATTTCATATCCTAATTATTTTTAGGCTTTTCACGATTATTATGTTCTAACTATTGACCTTTTGGAAAACTCTTTTTGTTTCAAATATATCTCTATCATTCGTATATAACAATGAATATATACAACGAAAGTTCTTACGAAGAAATCCATGTGATTAATAATCTCCGTTTGAGTTGATATTTTGATCATAGATAGGACTCATAGTGTAGATAAAAATCTTGAAAGAGTTCGTGTCATTAAATTTTTCTTCTCAAGTTATCGTCATTTTACTGAGCTTTCAGCCTATTGTAGGATATCAATAGAAAAATCGTAACAAGAAGGTTTGGTCGACGATTCTCCACAACGATAGCTCTTATAGCTTTTATAGTATTCTGAAAGTTTCAGTTCAAGCAGATGTTCCCATTCTGAGATAACACGTTTGCAAAAAACGTTACTTTCACACAAAAGCTTCAAAAAGAAGTGTGCATTAGATATACAATATCTTAAAAAGAAATCATCCGTTTGAATTAAAACTTTCAGGATATCATAAGGACCATAAAATTTATTTGTTGGAGAGAAGTTCAGACTGAAAGTACTTGTTCCAATTCGTCTGATGATATTCTACAATAGGCTGAAAGCTGAATAAAACGACCATAACTCGAGGAGAAAAGTCTAATGTCACGAACCCCTTTCAGAATTTTTATCTACGCTATGATTTCTACCTATGAGCAAAATATGAACTTCAATTGATATTATCAGTCGAATGAGTTTTCTCGTTAGTTTCAATCAAGAAAAACAACAATATTTGAAACTAACTTGATACGTTTATATATATTCCACAATAATAGAGGATTAAAAGATGCGTGATCTATTAGATATTTTTCTTATTTTGATGATGACACAAACTAAGTAAATAATAAGTGTCTCACTAATGCCATCAAGTGAACAAAATCTCAAGAGACATTCTCGTGTTTTTTCATATATATATAGGTCAATTAACAAATATGCCCTTCAGTCAATTGGAATTGAAAAATATATTTTGTACTGAATAACTTTTCAAGAAAAATCGTTATATTAAACAATTTATCCAATGAATACCTAACATCTTTTCCTATTAAAATTAATCAATGAACGTTTTTTTCAAAATGTCAAAAAATACAGTTACAATTAATTTCTTAGTAGTGGAAATGATCGACTTCCTTAATAGAGAGAAATTTATTTTATTTATTTAATATCTTATTTCGTACAACTTTCGTGGATGAAATAAAAATATTTGGTAATTCTATCTTTAAAAGGCTTTCTCGATAAATATTTACGTTAATGTTTTTTTTTGCTTGTTGAATTTATATATTTAATAAACAAATATTCCTTAGACTTTATAATTCTTTTTCTTCCGACACAATGAAAAAATATTGATAAAATTATATATTTATTTCATAAAAAGCCATCTATGTTTATAAAAAATTCTACTTTTTTTGTTAATATCTTACAAACAACAATCGATATGAATCATCTCATCAATGAAACCACTTCAAAGATTCGGTATGATATTTACCAAACTAAGCTGCAAATCAATACGATTTCGTGTATTAGTACAGCATTATAATACGTATACTATTATTAAATACCTAATAATCTATGCATGTAAGCTTATAGCATATAGTTTAAGTAAATAATCCCCAAACAATTGATTAAGTACCATCATAATAACGTATAAAACCCAGTTTGAAAAATCATTACCATTGAAGAAAATGTTTGTATACCATCTTATTTGATTATTTAATAAATTTGGTATGGATCAAAAAGCTTTTAAAATGAATCAAAATGCACAAAATTTAATATTATATTTTAACTAATAAAGAAAAACTCACTGATTAAAACTTTTTTTTAATCTTTGATGATTGATATAAAAGCAAAACGAAATAATTTATTGCTGATTATTGAGATAACATAAATGATACAACAAAAAATGTAATTAATGAAATAAAAATAATAAAACATATCATTAAAACAGTGTACAATAAACGTTTTCGATATTCACTCATTATTTTACAAGATCAATTCTTCATATAGAATTTTTTTTATGAACAATTCCTTTTTTTCTCTTTTTTTCCGAACAAACTAATTTCATAAAAAATAACAGACGAAGAAGAAGAAAGAATATTGTTTAATAATTATTAAAAATGTATAATATGAAAATATACAATATGTTCACGTAAAATAATGTTAGTTTAAAAATTAATAATATTAATATACGTAGTTCGTCCTATATCTAATGAAGAATAAGCCAAAGAGCATGGATTATACCAATTATGTAAAAACCAAGAATAGTTAAAACTAAATTGATTAGTACTTGCTTATTACAGGCTTTTTGATGTAGATAAACAGCCAGTGGTGGAATGAAAATAGCAATAATAATTAATAGAATGTCAGCCATATATCGTGATGTAGATAGATTAACCTGCACTTAGATTTATGTGAAAAAAAGAAGAGAAAATACAATGAATGTGTATTATGTTTTTCTTCTCGAATTCTGTTATAATCAGTGCTAAAGAAAAAAAGAGAGCAATAGAAAGAAAAACGACAATTCTTTTTAACGAGAGGAAGAGATGTAAAATAATTCTGTGTGCAATCATATTACCTTCCAATTTAGTTAACCGATGAAGTAATAAAACTAATAAAGACATGCGTATATTTAACGAAAGAAATACGAAATACATGAGCAAATAACAGCAAATGGCAACAAAGAAAATGATTGATTGTTTCATATTTCCTATATTTGATTATGAAATCAACAGAGTCACGTTTCACAAACTCTATTTTAAATCAAGGTTTCGTTTATGCATTCTTGTCAAATCAAATAAATAGAAGATTTAGCTGATTTACAATGAGAAAAATCAATACATATAATAATTTAATAACGTATTTTTTTGCATTTGGACAAGAATAGCAAGACTTTTTTTTTATTAAGATTATTTAAAAAAAGATTAGATCAACTTATTCGAAATCAAAAATATTCTCTCAATACAATAATTCAATCCATCATACTATTTCAATAAATATAAAGATATTGATGATAGAACGTATCATGCAAAAATAATCTAACTGTTCATATAATACAGAATTTCCTATGTCAATAATCGAGAAGCCAGTAAGTACAAGAATTAGATCTAGTATTTACAAAACCTATATAAACAATGTCAAGGAAATTTTCTCATATCAATAAAATCGTTTACGCTTTGTCGGCTTCAACTTACATAACATTTAATCAGACCAAATAAACATTATTGATTATTTTTCAATTATTAAAATTCTGTTTAATAATAATCTCTATTTTTTAATCAGTATAAAACTATTAATTAGATAACATCAAAGTTGGCATTCGATCATTTCTTGCTTTTATTTTCTCGATACATTTTAATAAATAATTATCTCAAAAATATAATATTCTATTTCTATTTGCTTGAAATATATCTGATGAATATCAATTGTAAAAAACAAAATACACAGCTTGATTGTTTACTTGTGGTAAGGAATATTATAACAAAAGAAAATAAATTTTCCTAAATAATCGAAACAAAAAAATCCAACATCAACAACACACATCATGGTTATCGACTATAAAAAAAAACAAGTTGGTTATTGAAATGCTTCAACCATATGTTCAATTTCTTTTGAAATATATCCAAAGAACACTAATATTTTCAAGAATCTATATTTAAACCATCGTTCTGTTCGATCTTTGCTAAAAACAAAATATAAAATAATGAAATAATGTTTTTCAAAATAGAAATATTAACTTACAAAAGTATCAGATCAAAAATAAATAATTCTAATCGTGCATAAAAACGATCTTTGAAAAATCTTTGTGGTTTTTCATATTTTCGAGCACCCAAAATAGCACTACAATAAAAGAAAAAAAAAGGTAAACATTTATTATCAATCAAATTCATATATTTCGATTTAAGGAAAATAAATTTAATATTTGTATTCTAAAATAAATTAAGATCACAATAAATATCGATTTCTTTAGTGAATTTCTGTAAAAAAAAATCGTCAAACTCTATCATTTACAATATATCACCATAAGTTGAAATTTCAAATTCGAAAACATCTTGCATTGATATTTTCATAAAAAAAACCATTAGCTATTCTGTTAGATGATTTAAAAATTGAGTAATTTTCATACTGAACATTTCTTCATTTGCTATTTTATTTTTATAATAAAACATAAAACTACGATCTTAGTTTAGTATTATCATTACGGAACAATTATTCATAGAAAATCGAAAGAAAAAAACATGAAGTCAATCAGAAATGAAAACGCATAATAACCAACCTTCGAGCCATAATAGTATGTCGATCAATTAGATTTCCATGATCCCGAATTGTTGATCGTATTTGATTTAAATTCCTAGAAAAAAACAAAATACTTTATCAAATATTCATATTTCACTTTTTTTTTTATGGAATCTAATAGTTCGCAAACAGATGAAATATTACATTTTGACTATAGAAAACTACCTGAGAACAAGAATAAGCTTGTCCGGTAATTGCTTGAATACATAAATAACTTCATCCATTGTTTCTCGAGCTTTTAATCGTATTCGATCCATTTCCTCTTTAGTTATTTTCTGTCGGAATGATACACTACCATGTCGAGAACGTAATGATTGCATAATAAGTATTTCCGCAAATAAACGATGATACTTTTCTACATATATACATATATATATATATATGATTTCAAAACAATAGAATAATCCAAATTCTTTTAATCTCACATATACATAAAAACAATTATATCAAAGAAAATGACGATGATAACTAACCTTAATATCATTAATAATGGTCGAGGCATATCATGAAGAGTTCGTAAGACACTATCTTGAATATCATTGAAAATAAATGTAAAATCTTTACGTATCGCCAATTTTTTTTGTGGACTCATATTTAAAAATTCTTTTTCAGTCTAATAGGGTAAAATAAATAAGATAAACAAAACTTTTAGTGAAGAAAAAAAACCGAAGTTTCTTACAGGAAGACGAATTTTTCCTTGTGCATGTGCTGCTTTTTGTTCATCAGATGACATTCGATCCCATACTTCAGGTAATATTGCCAATTCATGTATAGGTCGATGAATTGGATGCATAGTTAGAACAGTAGCAAATGTTAAATAATCTTTCTCTACATCGGGAAAAAAGAAATACGGTTAGGTTTTCAATCGTCATCATTTTCTTCTAATTGAGTTTTGTATATGCGTGAAAACATAATAGACTTACCTTGTACACCAAGTGCTAGTGAATAGTGTTTCATTTTATCTTCATCCTTCAATATAATTGATTTCCATAATTGACATAAAGCTTCTCGGTCTTTTGGATTAATTGTTACATATAAACCATGATCAAGTAAAACAATTTGAACGTTTGATTTCGTTGGTGTTTTCGGATCTTTTCTGACATAAACATTCCCTGGCTAAATGCATACAATGAGAACCAAAGTTATTCGATAAGGTTTATTTTCGATTTTTTTCCTTGTCGTAAACGTTAGAAAGAAACCAAATTGTGATTCGGATAGAGAAAATGATTTCTAACAAGAATATAAGGAAATATAAATTATTTTCAGATTCATTAAGATAGGGACTCCAAAAAACCGAAACACTAGTGTTAAAAAACGTAGAGCACGTAAATATATCCTTGTTTAGATTACACAGAACGATAGAGTAAACCATCCTCTAGAAAATGAGATATCGCCAAGTTCTCTACGAGTTTTTTTTGTCTGAGGCACAGCAATTTGACTGAAGGTCAAAAAATGGTTTTTCTATATGAAATTGAAAACAATGGACTTAAAGTCTTCCATAAAATTGCTGTACCTCAGCTAAAAAACATCGCAGAGAACTTGGAGACATCTCATTTTCTAAAGAACTGTTTGCTCTATCGCTTTGTGTAGTCTAAACAAAATTATATTTATTCGTCCTAGGTACTGAAAAACTAGCCTTTTGATTTTCTAGAGTCTCTATCTTTGGCAACTTGATAATAATTTTTATTTCCTTATATTCTTTTCGAGAACAATTTTCTCTATTCGAGTCACTATTTGAATTCTTTCTAGCGCTTACGGCAACGAAGAAAAAATTGAAAAGAACCTTGTTGAATAACTTTGAGAATCACTGTAAAAATATACATACACAGTCGCTCCAAAAGTTGACCATACAGCTTTAATTTTGTAATACTAACTCGCATAGAGAATTCAAATAGTAGATTGAATAGAGAAACTTGTTTTTAACAAGGATTTGAAGAAAATAAAGTCTTCAAAATATTCTCAAAACTCAGAATCTATACAAAACCTAGTTTTTCAGCGTCAAGAACCCAAAAATAAGAGTTTCTTTTGATTACAGGAAGCAAAAGAGTAAAATGAGACATCTCTAAATTCTCCATGACATCTTTTGACTTAATCACATGAAATTTTAGAGAACCTCAAACGTTCTTATTGTTCAGTTTTTCCTTCAGAAATGGCGAAAAAAATCATTCTCGGGCATTTTTTAGAGTCGATATAGCTTTGTCAAAAAATGCCATACAGACCTTGGAGATATCTCATTTTACTTTGTTAAATTCTTGTTGGAAACAATTTTCTCTACTCAAATTACTATTTGAATTCTTTATGCAAGTTACTATTATAGAATAAAATCTGTACGATCAATTTTTGAAGTCCTTTTATATCTATCAATTTTTCTTATTGATCAAATAAAAGAATTGAAACATACATGAGGATCAGCATGTACAAAACCGGAATGAAATATTTGAAAAGCCATAGCTTGAACAAGTTTCGTATCAATTTCTTTTAATGATAAATTTGTTTGTCGAAGTTTTTCTGTATCTGAAACTTTAATACCATCAATATATTCCATAACAAGTACTCGTTTTGTCGTATATTCCCAAAAAACTTTTGGAACATAAATATATTTTAAATATGGTGATAATTGAGCATAACATTGATCAGCATTTTCACCTTCTAATTTAAAATCAAGTTCACGTTCTAAATTACTTTTTACTGAATCAATTATCCAACCAAATTCAAATTTAGGAAAGATTTTACCAATTGCATATAATATCATACGAATAGTTAATATATCACCGGCAAAACGATCTTGTAAATCAATATATTGTAATTTAACAGCAACACGTTCATTAGTTGATTTAAGATGACCTTCATAAACCTCAGCAAGAGAAGCTGCAGCAATAGGTTCAGGAGAAAGATAAGAAAATAAATCAGATACTTGACAGCCAAATTCTTCATCGATTAACTGACTAACCTAAAAATAAATTGTGATATTTAATATTTATCTATAGCTTTACTCTTTGAAATAAGAAACACAACAAATTGACTTTGATTTTATCGATCAATATCGAAAGATTTCAAGATAGGATTTACTAGAAGTTTTTAGAGACTTCAGAAAATCTCGCATTCTGCTCATGTCTAATTAAATTCTCTCAAAAAAAGACTATATAGACGATAGCATATAGTGAAGAAAAATTGAGAGGATTTCGTGTGTATTACGAAACCTAAAAAAAAACGTTTTGTACATAGGTATAAAACTTTTAAAACGTTTTCTAGATTCATAATAAGTCTTTCCAAGGATTCTGTACTAATGCAAAAAATCTAAAAAAGAATTTCGAATTAACTTTAATTCTCAAAACCTTTTCTTTTAGTGTAGATCTACGACATCTTCAATTAATCATCATTGATAGAGAATTCTATTGAGTTTTCTATTGTTACAAAACTCTGAATTAGAGTCATGAAAAGTTGATCTCGTTAATTTCTGGTCGTCTGTGATATTCTTTGTTGATTTTGAACTACCATCAAAATAGTAGAACTTAATTCTACAATTAATAAATAGATGTCATAGAAATCTTACCTCATTTCGTTGTCTTCGTAAAGCTCTATCTTGTAATAGTCGAAGTCCATCAGTATATTCTTTTGGAAAAATATGATCAGCACTAACCATTCCTTGACCCATTTTAACATATAAACCACCATTTTCAATACATCCTTGAGCTATTCTAGCTGCTGCTCGTTTATGACATTCTTTAAGTTTGATTTCATATTCTGGTGATGTTTCAGGTATTGTCCAAAAATGATATTTATAATCAACTGTAATAAGAAAACCGATTTGAAATGATCTGCATAAACAAAAATTAAATTTAACAAATATTTATTAAATATACAATTCAACTAATTACTAACCGAAATCCACGTTGTAAACCTTCAAATACAACTCTTATTTGACGTCTTTCTTTTGGTGTAAGATAATAAAAATAATAAAGACTACCACCACCAAATAACAATCCATTCGCTATAATATAATTTCTCAAAAAACGTCGACTACGATGTTTAACACCGAAACGATCTGCTATGGATCGAAGAGTACTTGTGTTACTATTTGATACTAAATTTTTTCTCACCAAACGAAATGTACTTGATGGTAACAACAATGAACAAGCTCGAAAAGCATTCATATATATAAATCTAAAACATTAGCGAAGTACTTTCCAGATTTTGTCACAGATATTTAAAATCACAATACTATAGAACTATACAAGAATATAAATCCATTCAATGAGATATCAAAAAAAAAATCTTTTAAAAAGTAATATCACGCACAAAAAATAAAAATAAAATACCGGATGAGTCAGTCGGACATATCAATTAATATTTAACTCGTTTTACTCGTCCATTAGAATTACTTTCAGTTGATGGTGTTGTACCATCTGCATCCATCGCAGTATCTTCATCACATGCAGGACGTTTCATACTTTTCATAGTTGGAGATGATGAAAACATAATTTTCTCAATTCGAGCAGTATTGCCATGATCATCTGCTAACCATGGATGTTCAAGTACACCAGCTATTGTTAATCGTTTATTCGGATCAACACACATCATTTGACGTATAAGATCTTTAGCTGTTGCAGAAACTTCAGACCAAAATTCATCGGGAAATGTATAAAGGCCTCTAAGAATTTGTTCATTTAATGGAGGAGAATCAGGTGATTCACTAAATGGTGGATAACCAACTAAAACAATAAACGAGTATGAATTTTAACACAAAAAAATAAATAAATAAATAAATAAAATTTCTTTTTTTTTTCTTTCTTACCTAAACAAATATATAAAATAACACCTAAACTCCATACATCAACTTTATTTGTATAACTACCTTCACCACGAGTTGCTAAAATTTCCGGAGCTGAAAGACAAAAAAAAAGAAAAAGAAAAGTAATACAAAAGAAAAAAAAAATTCTTTTTTGATTTCTTTCTTACCAAGATAATTTGGTGTACCACAAAATGTTTTCATTAAACTTGTTTCATTAATAAGTCTTGATAAACCAAAATCAGTTATTTTAATTAATGTTTCATTTGTCTCTGGTGATGTTAAAAGAATATTTTCTGGTTTTAAATCACGATGTGTTATTGAATGATCATGTAAATATTTAACACCAATACACATTTGTCGAAAAAGAAATTTACTTGTTGTTTCATCAAATTGTCCATTTGCAACTATGCGATCAAATAATTCTCCACCATCAACAAATTCAAGAATAATATAAAGTGCATCAGGTGTATCATGAACATCATATATACGAATTATACATGGATGATTTAATCCTTGTAAAATTGAACATTCATTTTTTATATTTTGATTGAATATATGAGCTTGTGGACCAAAATGTGTAAAATGTTTTTTTCTAATAATTTTCATTGCAAAACGATCACATGTACCTAAGAAAAAAACCAAATATATTTGACATTTCATATATGAATGGTTTATTTTATTGTTATATGACATTAAATTAAATTTACTAAAGATGAATAACTTTCTTAATAGACGAATTCTGTAATTTTATAAAAATGCTCTAGAATGATTTGACTTTTTCAGATCTTTTGATCTGAGATATAGTTTTACTAGTATCTTCAATATCTTAGATAAATATGATTCATTCAGGTTTAAATTTATATCACTAGTAACCTATGTCACACGTTTGTTCGCACTGCCGTCGATATACCGCGGTTCCGCTTACGACAACTTTCGCTTTCAGCTATAAACGATTACGGAGAGTGTTTTCTACCTAAACTCATAAAAATTCAAATTAACCGACTCTGAAATCTTACATCAATTCTTATTGTAAGATTCTTGACAGATCTTGTTGTCTTGCCAATTCTTACTGGAAGATTATAGAAAATCTTATGCGACGGTAGGATCTGACAGGAATCTTACAGTAAGAATTGATGTAAGATTTCAGAGACTACGATTTTTTGTACGATCTCATATGATCGTACAAGACTTACTGTCAGATTTTTTGACCTGGGAAGTTTTAGAATTTATTAATTATATCGTCATTGACTATGATAGTTTAATTTTAGTTTCTTAACAATTCATTAAAGATTTATTTATTTTTTTTTGTGTTCTTCTGGGTGATCGAAAGCAATATGTGCTGAGATTTTGCACAATCATAACAAATAATAAGATATAAATATGGCTTTAATTATTAGTTAATATGTGAAACAGATGACGTTTCAAAAAGGGCATATGTTCTTGTCTTAAAAATTCTCAATTAATGAACAGCGTTATAATTGTAAACTGGACCAAAACTTGTTTAGTCTCAATAGTGAACATAATGTAAAACTCGAACACTGTCAATAGTGATAGACGTATATCTTAATTTAGAAAATTCGAAATACTAAAACATTCTAAGATATTTAACGTATTACTGAGGATCTATGCAGTGAATAAATACTTGATTTAAAAGCGATTCGACAGTGTATAAAGTGTCTCCATGAGAAGCTTAAAGTACTGAATGGTACTCTCCTCCTCGGTTTTGAACATTTCTGATTGTCGAAGAGGGCACAACTGATCCGCATGAAATTTTTACTATAGATCGAGCACCTAAAACTAAGGAAATATATGTTCAAGGGTAGAAAATTTTAAACAACGTTTTCTGGAAAACTTTGATTTTTCATAAGACTGCATCGGACCCACTTACGAATCCCATCTAACTTTGTCCGATCAGACTAAATATTTTATTGAAGGTACCTTATACTATATCTCAGAGGTGATTTTAAACTTTTTCAAAAAGTTAACTCTCTTTTTTTCTAGAAATCTGGATAGGAAGCTCAAAAACGAAAACGATCAATTTCACCTCTGAAGAATACTTCCAAGTATCTGTGATCAAAACTTCAGCTCAATTGAACAAAGTTAGACAGGGGTCGTAGTGGATTCGATGTAGTCCTATAAAAAAATCAAAATTTTCCCGGAAACCTTATTTAAAACTTTTTTTTCTGGAACATGTATCTCCTTATTTTAGGTGCTCTATCTACAATAAAACTTTCCTTAAATTCATGCAGATATCAACAAGATTGACAAAATCCTTATATTTCTAGTGAATAGTGATCGAGCATACTGATGAATGAAATCAATCGTCTTTGAATTGGTTACTCTTTTTTTTTCTTTACCTCGAGTGAAGCATAATTTGACTTCACCATAAGCTCCACGTCCAATTTCTCTAGAAACAATATATTTATTTCTAACAGTTGCTGGAATTGATAAATCTTCATGAGTATTTGAATCAATATAAACATAGGCTCGATGTGTTTTTGATGCTAATGCAATTTCTGTATTATTTTCTAAAATATGTTGATTATTTTTACCAATTTTTTCTCCATTTATATATGTTCCATTGGATGATAAATCAATAATATAAACATATTTTTTTGTTTCATCACGAATAATTTGAAAATGTTTTGATGAATAAGCAAGAAAATATTTTGATGTTTGAAGTTCATTTGAATTTAATATTATTGTACATGTTTTACCACGACCTACTGTATATTCATTATCTATTAAATCAATTGATGGAAAAAGGTTATTTATTGATAATAATCGACCCCATACATTCAATCGACGATTAGAATCATCATCATCTGCTGAACTATATTCGATACCATCACATTCTTGGGTTCCTTGTGTTGGTACACTTAAACTCTGAATAAAATAATAATTAGGAAAAAAAGAAGATCTTGCTTTATCATCTAACCATTGGTATTGGTTCACTCATGATAACAATAATGATGTTTATGTACCAAACAATTATTCTCTTTTATTCTTTGAAAAAGAGTGCAAAACTTCAGTATGAGTCAAGGTTACGCCATACCATATTTTTGAGTAAAAGACGGGTGCAAAAAAATACCAATGAAACAACATCAATGAAACTATGAGTGACATCTAGTTTTCATGTTTAAAATGTTAAAGACAACCAACTAAATGTAAATCTGGAGATTTTCGATATTTAAAGATAAAGATCTAAAATGATATCTATTAAATAAAAAGTATTTCATAACTTTTCGTTGAAATAACTGAGTTTTTTTTTCTATAAATCTGTTATATTTTTTAACAAAAGCAATAAATTATTAAATAGTATTGTCACTTGTTAAATAATCATATCATATCATATTGTAGTTTATTTTTACATATTTGTACTTGATTGATCTGGAACAATTTTCTCGTCATATTCAGCTTTGAATGAAGCTGATTAATTGATTTCTTTTTTTATGTGTTCATTTAGTAGTTATCGATCAATATCGTATTTCTTATCAAAAAACGAAATATTGCATAGAACAGAGTTGAGTAAGTACGACTGCGTAATCGTACGTATTTAGCTCTGCAAATAAAGTCCACTTGCAACTGTTATATAGACATTGACGATTTGTTTCATTGTTTGAACAAATCATATGATTCCATATTTTGTATATCCTGATTTAATACTATCGATTTCATCTAATTCAATATTCTATTCTTACCAGAATGACTAAAGACACCATCACCAAATATATTAAAACAATCACTATATATTTGAAATCTACCCTTTCCAAAATTTGTTGACATATTATACCAATTTCGATCAGATTCGTCTGTCGGAGTTACATTTTTAGTTGCTTCTATAAGAGTTTGTACACTTAAAAGACGCTTCTGTTTCTTCCCATATTCATTGATATCACCAATCAGTAAATAATAGTTACGAGCTAAAGATCGAGCATTTGTAATTTCATTCACAGAAGGTATTGCTACACAATGAAGTCGAGTCCCGTTAAATATCATCAATGAGCTTTCCAAGGGAGAAGCATCACTACATGATAATGATTTTTTTTGAGTTTGTGAATCCATTGAAAATACGTTACTTGTATCAACCTTGAATACAGAAAAAAAAGAATCTTGTCTATTTGATGTATTAATCAATTTACTTCTTTACGAGTGACAGGAGACACACGTGCTTCAACTTCATCATGAAGTATACTCACATAAAATTCCCTATCTAATTCATCGCGAACAAATTGATTGTATGTACGATGATGAAGATCAACACGACGAATTAATTCGCCAGCAGCATATCCTATTATATGACCATGATATTCATGAACTGTTTTAGGTTGACAATGAGGCTTTTGTGCATCCACTAATGAAGTCATTCGAGATCAATTATAAATATCTTCAACTGTAAGTTATTCGTCGATGAACGATAGACCAGCTCGATACAGCAATAAATCACCGATTGTAATATTCTTCAAAGAAACTTAATACTGATTAAATATATTTCACAAATAAATTCTACTTGTTTTCCACTAGAAGCAAATTCTGACCAATATTCTGCAATAAGTGCATCATAATCAAGCCAACCTCTTTTCACACATAATGCTATAACTGTAGCTAGTATTCTTTTTGAAGTTGAAAAAACTAATTGTATTGTATCTGATGTATAAGATTGTTTTTTTGTCTGTGTATCTTTCTAATCACTGTATAAATAAACAACACATTCTTCTCGATAATAAATACATAAACTTGCACCAATATCAAGTCCATCGACTTAGTTTTGTTTGAAAACAGGACGTACACTCTTCCAATCATGTACTACGTGTCCGCGCACGTGATTGTTATCGTCATTCACTAGCAATGATATTATCAAATATATGTTTACAATAATAAATCTTTTTGTTTGTTATGTCAGCATATCGTTGTATAGTTATTATCTTTTTTTTTCGCTGATCGATGAATAACGAAAACCATAATATAAATTACTGCGCAATTTTCATCTCAATTGATTAAGCAAACATTTTTTTTATGTACAGATAGTAATCTAAATCATTATTATGCTTAAGAGCTGACATATCAAAATTATATCTTTTTTTCAACAATATCAAAATAAAATGATTTGAAATTGTAATAAACAAATTGATAGTATCAATCAAGGATGAAATTAGTATCGATATAGATTTCAGATGAACCGGTCTATCAATAGGCCGATCATTATTTGGTGTGTCTTATTAAACCTTTTACTCTCACAAGGAACCATTCTCAGGTAAGCCGCTTCGTTTATCTTCATAATATACCTATATGTAAGGGCTAATTAGATTAGAATAATCTCCAAATAGTTCGTACTCTTATTGAGATTTTGCTGAGATACTGAATTTTTAGTGGATTTTTCCTGTAGGAGGCGAGTCATATCTTCAAATTTCCGTCTGAAACTTTGTCAACATGACAGCCTCACTTATACTAACTCAAGTAAAAAGTTTCATCATTTCAGGACATTGTATCTCCAAGATATGAATATTTCAAAATAAAGGCACTCGTCTTTAGATACTATGAAATATGGAAACTTAGAAAGATTCATATCTCACAGATGCAATGTCAAAAGATGATGACAACTTTTACTTGAGCTAGTCTAAGCGAGATTTTCATGAGTGACAAAGTTTCAAGTCGAAATTCGAAGATATGATTTTGCTTCGAAACTGACCTTTTGCAGTAAAAATTCCATATCTCAGCTAAATTTCAATAAGAGCACGGATTGTTTCGATACTATTCTAATCTAATTGGTCTCTACATATGAGCATAATATGAAAGTAAACGAGACAGATCGCCTGGAAATACTCCTGCGTTAGTATCTCGTAGGGTATGTGTAAAATGCCAAATATCACTATCTACAGTACTCGCCATAAGTGGCCGCGACCTCTTTTTCTTGTTCAACAATGACTTTTATTTTATCTTTTTGCTTTGGTTGAACGGGCTAGTCGGGCTTATCATCCGATATAAATAGGAACATTTGTATTCATTCTGTTATCAATTTATAACTCAATAGAAAATTAACCTTTTTTTAAAGAAAAGACGAGAAATTATCTTTCTATAAAGACAGAGCTATTCCCCACATATGTCAAATGGTGATATTTCACAGTATCTATACGAATCAGTAAGTAATTGTAAAATGTAGGGTTAGAAGGTATGAAATAGCTGGTGACGTATAAGTTGCACAAAAATCCGGTCTATACCGGAAAAACAATACGCAACAATTCAATCCATGGTAGCTCAACATTCAATCGAATCTGTTGGTCAAATTGCGTTTAGATTATCACAGAAAGATATAAAAATTAGTAAAACCACATTAAGAAGAAGATTTAAAGAAACTGTTGTACATTCAATAAGACCGACCTCGAAAACATTGCTAAGAAGTGACGATATTTTAAAAAAGACCCCAGCAGAATATAAAACTCAAAGACTGTAACCCAAGTGAAAATGTCTGGGCAGTAGTGAAGCTCAGAATAAAAAAAGAACCGTATATATCGATCAATAATTTCATTGAAAGAATAGAAAAAAAGAATGGTGAAACTTAGCTATTAAATTTGCTGAAAAATTAGGCAATTCTATGGAAAATAGAGTAGCATTGTTAATTCAAAGAAAAAGCCATTATATTAATTATGCGGATGATGCACATATAATGTACATTTCATAATTAAAATATAACCAAATAACTCCTTTGTCTTCCTCGTTTTTTCAATCGCGGCTACTTATGGCGATTACTGTACATATGAAATAGTATGACAACTCGTCAGTTCAGTGTCGATATGGATTTCAGATCGACCGGTCGAGTAGTCATACCAATTTTTCACAATTAGTTTATTTCGAAAATTGTAATATATATGAATGTCATATCAACAAATTCAGATAGAGCTAAAGATTATTTTCAATAATACCGTTTGAAGAAAGTATAATTTTTAAATGTTTATTCATTTCAGAATCTTATACAAACTTCATTAATTAATCGATTACGTTCCATATTTATTTGATTTGAATATAGGATGAAAATAATTCATCAATGATATTTGTTGTTTCTTTCCTTTTACTTATCATAGAAAAATTAAAGACACATTGTCCAGCTATCAATACTAATAGATCATTCATTCTTTCGAAAATATCGAAGACGACGATGTTTGGATTTTATCCATTTTTTTTCCTTTTTCATTCGTTCTATTTATTCTATCATATGTTATAAAATTCGATATCCAACTAATAAAAGAATGACTATAAACAATAGTACTATAACAACATTTCAACATTATTATTATAATCAAATTGAATCGATTAATGAATCAACAGTTATAAATGTTTTAACATCGATAGATTATGATCCGATCGGTGCTGCTTATTTTATGATTATTGTTCTATTATGGTATTCTATAAGTGTTGTTGGTATGTTAGGAATGCAAATTCGAACTCGTACTGAAATAATTGAAGATTGTATACAACGTCGAGTAAAATTATTTATTAAAACTCTTCGAGATCAAACACAAACTAAACAAATTCTTGGTATAAGTTTTTTTTGTATTTAAAAAAAAAAAGAAAAATCTATTATATAGATTAATCGTTTTTTGGTTTTTTGTATTTTAAGAAGAACTTGTTGATAAACAAAAACGTGATAAACTTTGGAAAATTTATTTTGGTAAAACCTATAATAAGAATGATAAATTAAAACATGCTGAAATTCTTCGAATAAAAAATATTAAAAAACAATTAGCTATTGTTAATCATAATCATATGATTATGAATGATACATTTATATCTCCAATTGTAAATCATTGTATTCATCATCAATTATCAAATTCTCGATCAAAATTTATTTCAAAATTTTCATCAATTGAAAATCAAAAATGTATTCGACATCGTTCATCATTTAATAGACAAATAATTCAACGATGGAAATCAATTATTGATCAGAATAAAGCATATAGACAACAAATACCATGGACTATTAAAAAAATATTTATACATCGTTATTTTCAACGGTATTATCAAAATTCATTACTTAATATACCTACAATGGAATCAGTACGAACTCATCAATATTTAGAAACTATTGATAATAAACAATGTCATTTATTATCATCATCATTATCACATAAAAAAATAAATAATAATTCATGTCCAATAATAAGAAAAATAGATAAACCATTAAATCCATATATAACTTATTTTCATTTACCAATAAATGAAAATTTTAAAACAAATATTCAAAATTTACCATGTATTACTACTGTTAAATCGAATCATCATATTGTTCAAATGAATCATGATGAATCTCCATGCTAAATTTTTCTTTTAAATTATAATTTGCATTTTTGTAAATGTTTTTAAGTACTAAATAAAGGAATTTTTATCAATTAAAAATAAATAAAATCTTTTACTTTAGATGCTTTAAAAAAATTGATTTTCTCAAACACCCAGAGAGACTCTTTAGACCCAAATCCGATCGGTAGAGTTCGGCGGTTCCAAAAATTAATCGAACGGCAGTCCTAGTTTGGTTCCTGAAATACCATGTGACACAGAAACCATTAAATTATTAAATAGATAGGAAAATTTTAAATCTATTTTGAGAAAATTTTCACTATTGAATTGTTGAGGTTAAAGATGTTGCACATTTCAGTACTTAAACAAAAACAATATGATGCATATATGTTGAAATCTTTAATTTCGGAAATGAAAAAATGAAGATTTAAGAACTTTGTAACGTAGCTGAAGATTTTGATATTACTGTTGGTTTGATGAATTTAGTTAATCAATTAACTGTTGAATTTCTATTTTTGTTAACATAATACTCTTTTGCAACTAAGCAAAAACTTTTAATTTATTCTAAGCATCGAGAGACGGGAAAGTGAACAACAAGAAATAGTTGCACTTCGACTTTTTCTGAGAGTAGTTAATAAATAGCTAAAACTTTGATCCGTCATTTGTTCATGCATACAACGGATGTCAGACATTGATAGAAAAAAAACTCGACTCTAGATTCCACAGGATCTTCTGATAATACCTTGGTTCGAGAAAATTGCAGCGAAAAAATGGTACCATTATATCGTCGTTTTCCATCATAAGAGTGAGAAAAAACGATGACTACTTCCAACCGAAAGTATATCTCGTAAAATGGAATGACCTATTACAGCGAAATACGTTGAAAACTCATGCAATGGATATGGGAATTTTGTTTTTCATCGATTACAATGTCTTTAAGGTTTTCTAGAATATGATTAACGTGAATATCATATCAAGTAGATGTCACTATATATCACTTGTACTTTCTTGACATGGTCAATTGGTTCATATTTATATCTAATAGAATACTGGATGAAGAAATGAATGAAGAGAGAGTGAGTATAATTGCTAAACGAACTTTGAAAGTAGTACGTAATATGAATTCTATCCGTTTCATATTGAAATATACTTTAATAACATGTATTAGAAAGAATATGTTATATAATATCAAAATATAAATCATCTATTATATATAGATATGATTACGCAACACTTTATTTGTAGATTATGTCTATTCATTTGTTTAAACTAAACCAATATTTAACTCATATTAATCAATGTGTGAGATATTCACCTTCATTAACTAAATGGCATCAAGTTTCTGTAAATTTTCTAGAAATTTATTTATAACCTTACTTAATATTTTTTCAGAGATTATTCAACAATTTATCAAATTCAACATCTTCTATTGTTCATCGTCTAAATACAGTTGTACCAAAAGGTTTTGAAAAATACTTTCCGGGTGGTGCTGGTAAAGGACCTCATCCAAAAGAACCAAGTATTCTTTTTTTTTTCATATTCTTAAAATAAATTTATCATTTTATTTTTATTCAGCCGGAAGTCAACGTCCACCAGCTCCACCAAAAGAACCTGCTCCTGGTGAACGACCACCGGATGGTGGTCAACCAAAACCACCAACACCAGGTCCAAGTCCTGGTGGTCGTGGAGCACCAACTCCACCACCATCATCATCAGGTGGTGGTGGTTGGCGTGGTTTAGAATTTAAATTTACACCAGGTGATAAAAATCCATTATTTAATAATCGTACAGGCCTTGCTATACTTATTGGTAGTGGCATAGCTGCTTATTTTACATATAATAATACATTATATAAAGAAATAACATGGAAAGATTTTGTTTCACAATATTTACTTAAAGGATATGTAAGTTAAATTTTGCTTTCGCGAACAAAAAGAAAGTTCATTATTTTTTAATAAGATTGTTTATTTTGTTCTTTTTGTTTTAGGTAGATAAACTTGAAGTAGTTAATAAAAAATGGGTACGTGTAAGACTTCTTCCTGGTGCACCTGATTCAATGGTAAGAATAGATATTTGATTCTTTTGTTTTTTTTTCTCTGTTATTAAATTTTATTTTATTCAATATAGCATAGTTTATGGTTTGCTATTGGATCCGTTGATTCATTTGAACGTAATCTTGAAAATGTTCAAACAGAAAATGGTATTGATGCTGGAGGTTATGTACCTGTTTTATATAAAACAGAAGCTGATGCTGGTACACTAATGAGTGCTGCATCGTGGGTACTACCTATTATTTTCTTTGTTTGGTTATTTCGACGAGCTGGTTCAGCAATGGGACAAATGGGTGGAATGGGAGGAAAAGGATCTGGTGGAATATTTGGAATAGGAAATACAACAGCAAGAATTGTTAAAGAGAATGTTGGTACATCATTTAAGTAAGATTTTATTTATTTTAAAAAGAAGTCTATTAAGAAGAATATTTGATATATATATAGAGATGTAGCTGGATGTGAAGAAGCTAAACTTGAAATTATGGAATTTGTAAACTTCTTAAAAAATCCACAACAATATCTTGATCTTGGCGCTAAAATTCCTAAAGTAAGTAATTTATAATCTAGCGAGGAAACTTCTCTAGGTATCAAATCGATTTTCGATCGAGACGATGTTCATTTATTGAACAACATGAAAATGTAGAATGGTTTGGTTTTCCAGGCCTTCACTCTCAAGATGAGTTTTTCAACACAAAACTGGTCTCCACAGATCACGTACAAAGCCGAGTTTCGACTTTAAACTTTACACAAGCAAACTTCTCAATAAGATTAGTTTAGTAGACAAGTGTGGGAGTAGATATCGATGTACTTAGACAGAGGTGTCATGCCTAGCCACTCACACCTACACCGACGTCTACAGCCACATTCACACACCCACACCCGTACTCTCAACATTTTACGCCCTTACTTTTGAATCATGCTTTAATTATATCTTCAGAAAGGAAATACTAGCTGTACAATCAACTAATCTCAATAAGTACTTTACTCATACAAAGTTTGAAGTCAAAATTCGAAAGTCGATTTTTCATGTGACTTGAGAGAGACTACAGCTGTGATCTGTTGTAGAAAAATCGAAAGAAAAAAAGTCAAAAGAGAGAAGGGTGTAGGTGAGTCTTGGAGACCACCAGGTGCAAAACTTTCGAATTCGAACTCGACCGGGTTCGGTCCGGAATCAACTCGACACAATAACGAAGGCCCAGAAAACTAAACCATTCTAGATTTTTCTATTACTCATCAAATAAACATGGTCTCAATTGAAAAGCAATTAGATATCCGGAGAGACTTCCTCGTAAGATCTTTTATTTTTTACGCTCATGTTTCAATATAGGGTGCTATTCTTACTGGACCACCAGGCACAGGTAATCTATCCGAATGATTGAAACAATAATCTATTATATTCATTTAGGCAAGACTTTATTAGCAAAAGCTACGGCTGGTGAAGCTGGTGTTCCATTTATCACTGTATCCGGTTCGGAATTTCTTGAAATGTTTGTTGGTGTTGGTCCATCTCGAGTAAGTCTTTTTTTTTAATTATTTAATATAAAGTTTTTTTTTTATTTCATATGAATTGAATTTTAGGTTCGTGATATGTTTGCATTAGCACGTAAAAATTCGCCATGTATTTTATTTATTGATGAAGTCGATGCTATTGGACGAAAACGAGGTGGTCGTTCAATGGGTGGTCATAGTGAACAAGAAAATACATTAAATCAACTTTTAGTTGAATTAGATGGTTTTACACCACAACAAAATGTTATTGTTTTAGCAGCAACTAATCGAATGGATATATTGGATTCAGCTTTATTACGTCCTGGTAGATTTGATCGACAAATATTTGTTGGTTTACCAGATATTAAAGGACGTGCTAGTGTATTTAAAGTTCATTTAGGACGATTAAAAACTGGATTAGATAAAAATGAATTATCAAGAAAATTATCAGCTCGAACACCAGGATTTTCAGGTTAATTATTTATTCATAAATATTTCAAAAAACAAAAGATGATAAAACGATAAATATATATACATATTCTAGGTGCTGATGTAGCAAATGTTTGTAATGAAGCAGCACTTATAGCAGCACGTGATTTAAATCATGAAATTGAAATGAAACATTTTGAAGCTGCTATTGATCGTGTTATTGCTGGTAAATTATTTCAAAATATTTATTTTCATCATAAAAATTATATTTCTATAGGTATGGAGAAAAAATCTCAAGTTTTACAACCCGAAGAAAAAAAACAAGTCGCATTTCATGAAGCTGGTCATGCTGTATGTGGTTGGTTTTTACAACATGCTGAACCTATTATAAAAGTATCTATTATTCCACGTGGTAAAGCACTTGGTTATGCTCAATATATGCCTAAAGAGCAATATTTATATACCAAAGAACAAGTATAAAAGAAAAAAATTCTTCGCTATTTTTTTTTTGTTTTTGGTAAAGAAAATAATTTTCTTTTGAATTTAGTTATTTGATCGTATGTGTGTTATGCTTGGTGGTCGTGTAGCTGAAGTATTATTTTTTAATCGTATATCAACAGGTGCACAAGATGATTTACAAAAAATTACACAATCAGCTTATGCACAAGTTGTTCGTTTTGGTATGTCAGACAAAGTTGGTTATGTTTCATTTGATATGCCACAACAAGGTGATATGGTTTTTGATAAACCATATTCAGAAGCAACAGCACAATTAATTGATGATGAAGTTCGAGCAATAATAAAACGTGCTTATGATTTTACAGTTGAATTATTAACATCAAAAAAAGAACTTATTGAAAAAGTAGCATTACATTTATTAGAACGTGAAATTTTATCACGTGATGATATGATTGAATTAGTTGGAAAACGACCATTTAAAGAAAAAACTACTTATGAAGAATTTGTTGAAGGAACAGGTAAAGAACAAAAACAAAAATTTTCTTCTATTTTTTTTATTTAAAAAGCAAAAAAAACTTTTTTTTGTTTTTTTTTTTAAATTTAGGTTCATTAGAAGAAGATACAACGTTACCAAAAGGTTTACAAGATTGGAATAAAGATCGACAAAAAGAAAAAGAAGCTAAAGAAAAAGACGATAAAGAAAAACAAAAAGCATCGAACTGATATAGAAAGAGAAATTATAGAATAATTTTTTTTCTTTTTCTGTCATACAAGTGTTTTTTTATTAATATAAATCCTTGTTGTGTCTATATTTCTTGCACAAATGACCCAAATCGGATTTATACATTCGTAGGATATTTTTTTCCCTTGAGAGAATGAGCGGCATATTTATATTCAGAAATTTTACACTGAAGTAATTAGTAAACTTTATCTAAATCCATTAAACTACTAGATTAATAAAGTTGAGAGGAATAAAGAGAAAAAGTCAACGGATGTTTTCTAGAATCATCTATACTCAATAAACTTAAGCACGTTTTAAAAAACAAAAAATTAGAAAAACATAGCGACATGTATACATTCACATGTTGGAATGTTTTTATATATATATTAAAGATAATTTTTTTTAAATCTCTTTTAATAAAACGGAAAAAAAACAAACAATATGATGAATTATCATCATGAAAGGATTTTTCTATCTAATTAATTTTTTTTCTCTCATATCCTGAAGATGATCATAATGACTTCCTATTATATTTTTTAGAACAATATAAGACAAAAAAAAATTCATTAACGGAAATAATAATTTATTTTCGATATTAACAATGGATTCAACATCTGATAATTCTAAATTATCATTTATAAGTCGTTATCATGTGATACTTAAATCTCATTATTTTTTGTTTTTTTCTGCATATGGTGTTGTATTTCCAATATTAAATTTAACATTGCGTTCTCATGGCCTTTCAAATACGGAAATTTCAGTGTCAAACACAATTCTTAAATTTTTAATTTTTCTAACAAATCCATTAATGGGTTTTATTGCTGATAAATCTCGTCGTTTTCTTACAACATTTAATATTCTAGTAGTTATATATAGTATTGCTTTTACAATTCTATTTTTATTACCAAATATTAAATCTCATCATATTCAAGCTGATTTACATTATTTAAAACCATCAGAATATGTATTAGATTTTTGTGCAAGTCAAGAAGTAGTAACAAAATGTTCATCAAGATCTGATTGTGGTTGTTCTTATCAAGCATATTGTCAAAGAGAAAATTACTTATTTAATTTTACATTTACAATGAATTCAAATAATATACAAAAAAGATTAAAAGATACATTAAAATCTCAATGTGGTATTGATTATCGAGTATCAATTGATGAAGTTTTATTAGAAAATAAATTAGGTTAGTTAAATCTTTTATGAAGAAATAAGATAGAAAAAAAAAAAACTTTTTTCTGTCAAGATTTTCAAAGTTCGTCAATGATTAAATGTGAAATAACTTGTTCAATTCCTTTTTTTTGTCATGGTTTACGATATAAAGGACAAACAATTTACATTTTTCTCTATGGTATTTTATATATCATCGGTTATAGTTTAGTTTCAGCTGCAAATGCTATGGGTGCATCGATTGGTTTTTCTAGTTTACCAGGGGCAGATCTATTTGGAAAACAACGTGTTTGGGGTACAATTGGTTTTGGTATAATAGCTTTTTCTACTAGCCGTATTTATGAATTATTTCGTAGTGAATATGTTTATGTAATTATGTTTAATATTATTTCAATTTTGACAATTATTGTAACAAGTTTTATTCCTATGCATAAAAATGAAAAGAAAACTAATGAAAAAAAACAAAAATTAAATTTATCAACACTTATAACATTATTCAAAAATATGGATGTATTTATTTTTCTCTCAATAACATTTATTTGGGGAATGAGTTATGGGTGTTTACATCCGGTAAAATAAAAATAAACATTTTAGCTTTTATTTATATTTATATATATCTTATAATGCCTTTTGTTTTTCAAGTATTTGGCTCTATATGTTGATGAAATGGCTCCATGTCAATCACGTTCTATTATTGGTTTCATGTTTTTAATAGCATCAATATCTGAAGTTACTGCTTTTTATTCAGCTAAAAGATTGATCAATTTTTTTGGTCCTAATTTATCATCGATTATTATTTTTCTGGCATTTTCTGTTCGATTTGGTGGTTATTATTTTATATTAGAACCACGTTTTTTTCTACCATTAGAAACAATGCATTTTTTTAATTTTGGTATTCTTTATGTATTAATTGCTCAAAAAGCAGATCTTATTGGTAGAAATACAAAAATATTTGTCAATGAAAATATTTATTATATTATTTATTTCTAGCACCACCAGGACTTTCTGGTACATTACAAGGAATTGCTCATGGTGTTATACTTGGTTTAGGTAATATTTACTATTATAAATTAGAATTATATTGTCTTTTAGTGATTATTTCTATATTCATTTGTATGGATATCTTTAAAGAAAAAAAATATTTGACCTATTTATTTATTTAGAACTTTTATTAATGAAATACATCATTGGATTAAATTCATTAAGAAATGAAGAATAATTGTTTTTATTAAAGATTGATTATTGAGAGTTCAATAAAATATTTTCATTGAAATTTAGTCGAATATAATTTTCAGAATATAACAATGAAGAAAAAAAAATTTGATTAGATTTAATTAAGCAGAAATTTTATACGAATATTTAATATGTTACCCGAAAAAAAAAATTATTGTTCCATTATCATACAAAAAATTTCTATTATGTGATGAATACTAAATATATTTTGTTTTAATCAAATTTCTAATCATATAAATTTTTATATTATTGTGATGAATTAGAAATAATTATTAATTAATGGAACTATGAATAACTATTAGTATCCGAAGAAAATATATATATATATGCAAATGATGTCAATAAATTGATCAATATCAACTGCGATATTATTTTTGTATTGAATTACTCTCAAGAGATAATTCTCCTGTAGTTTGAGATAATTGATCGATGTAAAGGAGAATGATTAACATATTTATGCAAGAGATCTATTCACTTAGCAATCCATCAACAATAAAATATCGTATGTTATTCTTCTAGGTTGTGGTATTGGTTTAATTGTGTCTTCATATATCTATATTGTTATTCAACAACGTCTTCTTTTTCTTGTCTTTGCTATTCTGAATATCGTTGCTGCTATTTTTTATTCAATTTATTTTTTATTAACATATAAAAAATCTTCAATTAAAAATGTAATCGTATCAACTGATAATAACATTGTGCTTGAAGAAGGTAATTTTATTTATAAAAGAAAATAGTGAATATATATTTAATTTAGATGGAAATTTAAATCAAGAATCTTTACCATCATTAGCAATGATGGCAACAAATAATACCGAAAATAAACAGTAGACAAATTGAATCATGTGGTGTTTTGTTGATTCTTATTCATTAATATAGATTTTTGATGAAAACAAACGCCATGAAAATTTTTTTAAAAGTTCTTTTTTCTTTTCATTTATTATTCCTAGTTCTATAACATTCGTTTATATGTATGATAAGTAGAAATCAGTTTGAAAAATTTTTTTTTTACATGATCGAAATAAATAGCACAGATATTTACTCGTAGCTTTGATGCTTTCAGACTATTCTTATTTATTTTATGTGTTAAAGTATTAGTGAAAATGTTTACAAGGAAGAAATATGTGTCACGGTTCTTGCAGTTTTATAATAGACACGTACATTGAAGTATGGAGAAATGTCTCGCAAATAATTTATGGAAGTAATTTGCATTATAATTTAAGTTGGGAATTTGTGACAAAACAATATTCACATATGAATAGAAATCTACGTGAATAATGTTAAACATGTAAATATCTTTAATAGAAATATTAGATTATTGCAATACTATAGTACTTATTTAGTGTCTTTGTTACATTTTTTAAAATTCATTATGATGAATTTTATAAGTTGAAATATTGAACTAGAGTCTTACTGAATATATAATTCGATTTTTAAAACAAGTTTAAAAAAAAATGCTTAAATGAAATATTATTTACTATTTCAGCTAGAATTATCTTCAAGTTATACAATTTAATATAAACCTAGGTATTAAAGCAATCAATTATTTTTTTTAAATAAATCTTGTGATTTCCTTTTCCTTATCAACACAACCATTGCATGTTACTAGCACATATATAAAGTAATTTTTCGCTTCATTTTTATTACTATTCTTTGCATGCGTACACATATTTATTGATTTATTTGTTGAGAATACAAACAAAAATAAGAGCGAAAAAGCATGCATAGAGTTCAAGTAAAAACAAAATGTCTATTTTATTTTTTCTTAATTCAAATTAATTTCAAGTTTAAGGATTATTAATGTTATAATTTATTATCGTCGTGAAAAGTACTATGATCAGACAGATAATTTTCTTTTTACTGAAGTATACGTCCATAAATAATGAAAATAATTAAATTTGACAATATTTTCTTCTTTCTTGTTCTTTTCTGTAAAAAGTTAATCCGTAGCCTAGAAGACGGAAGGAACACATAATAGTGCAATTGTCTGGGCTTTTTTCTTCAATGTGCGCGCTTATGCAAAATGTTTGTCAAGAAAGAAAAAGCGACAAGAACATGTTTCCGTCGTTATTTCTACTCTACGAATTCTCAATAAAACATGGCATCTGTCTCTATTTGATTAAGTGACTATATCAGCAAAAGTTACACCTGCAAATTGTCATACATTACTACTGCTATTTAATTACCAAAATAAAAATAATAATGAAAGTGAGTAAGTGGTACAAAACTATTCTCTTTTATTAAAAAAAGAATAAAAGCAAGAGACTATTGATCGATTTTCAAGAGTAAGCTTAGTACCATTTATAATAAGACTATAGTCAATACTCAAACTAGTTCACTATTTATGATTATCATTAAGCTTCTATGGAAGGATAAAAAAGAAACAATGATAAATCACATTTACAACCAGGCACCTAAGCTCAAAGTATATTTGAATAGTACTTTTCTTTTCCTTGTCAAGGCATTTCAACACATGATAACTGAAATAAATAGTTTATTATGTAGATGAGATTCTTTATTTTGCACTTTTTTCGTTTTCTTCATGCTTTATCAGAAAAAAAATGTTGGAATGATAAATAAATGAATTAAAAAATTGCATTTATAGCATATATTGAAGACCTAAATTTATCAGTTATTTCGTTTCTTATTTAGTTTTCTATGTATATTGATAAGAATAAAATTTTTGACGATACCATAATGTCTGTTTTACCAGAAGTTTTTTTTTTCTTCTTTTTTTTTCCTTGTTTTTTGACCTTGATACTTCTTTTTTCCTATATAAAGACCGTAATACACGACGGTTTCTTCTTTCTTCTCTTCGAATAGAATAGAGAGTAGCATAGAACGATCATTATTGTGCAACTTCTCATTACAGCTTTTTTTTCCGTCTCGTTTATGCTAGAATTGCATAGACATGTAGCTTATGATTACTAGCTAGAAGCATATTATGTCAAACAATGGATATATTAATTAGAAGAATATTTTTATGTATTTTTCTTCAGATATGAACAACAAAAATTAAAAGAAGAAAAAAAAAAGAAAACAAACGGCATGGAATCACCTTCAATGTTAGCACCAACGACAAATGTCGTTAGTGCATCTTCATCGTTACCATTTGTTCACCGGTATTATGTTCTATTGAAAGCACATTACTTTCTTTTCTTTTCGGCATTTGGTATACTCTATCCAATATTAAATATAACATTACGTGGTCGTGGTTTATCAACTACAGAAATCTCATATGCTAATTTAATTATTCCATTTTTAGTCTTTTTTACAAATCCATTATTGGGTTTTGTTGCTGATCGTTCTCGTCGTTATTTATTAACATTTAATTGTATCATTATTATTATAACATGTTTATATAGTATTTTGTTTATTTTACCAACAATTAAATCAAATTATATTCAAGCTACTATTGTTTACGATAATCAATTAGGTCATGTATTAGATTTTTGTGCTAGTGAAGAAGTAGCAACAAAATGTTCATCAAGATCAGAATGTGGATGTTCTTATACATCATTATGTCAAACAACAAATTCACCATTTAATTTTACATTTACAATGAGTTCAAAAGATACTCGTCAACCCAAAAAATCATCAATTGATACAAGTGAATTTTCAACATGTGGAATCCAATATCGAGTACCTGTTGATAAATTTATACACAATTATACTTCACATTTATATTCAAATATTGATAATACATCTTTATTAGTTGTTTGTGAAATAACTTGTTCAATAACACATTTTTGTCATGGAACACGTCAATCTCAACAAGCACTTTATATTCTTCTTTATGCACTTTTATTTATTGTTGGTACAAATCTTCTTTCAATAGGAATAACTATTGGTGCATCAATTGGTTTTGCTACTTTACCACGACCTGATATATTTGGAGAACAACGTGTTTGGGGTACAATTGGTTTTGGTTTATCAGCTTTTGCTGCTAGTCGTATTTATGCACATTATAAAACAGAATATGTTTATATTATTATGTTTTCTATAACAACAATTATATGTATTTGTGTAACAAGTTTTATTCGTATTCAACCTCATAAACGACGACGAAAGAAAACAAATGATAATATACAAAATAATGAACAAGAAATAGATGATATTAGTGTAAATAATATTACAATAGAAACGAAGAATAAAGATGCATCTCAATTCAAAGTAGCTGCACTTATTCCTTTACTTAAAAAAATAGATGTTATTGTTTTCCTTTCACTTACATTCATATGGGGAATGTCTTATGCAGCTCTTGATCCAGTATGTATTTAGTTCAAATATTCTAAAGAATACTTGAAAGAACTAGAATTGAAAAATATCTATTGTAAAATTCATATTCTTTACTATCATACAAATCAAGTAGTTCATTTCCGAGTTATCAAGTATTGTTTACTCTGAATAGTACCAGAAAGTCAATGAGAAATATTATTTGTTTAGGAAAATAAAATCAGTTTTATTAAGTATACTTAGTTCTAATGAAAAAAAAAAAAGAACGGGGTTAAGTAAATATTCGTATTATTGCATCTATCATAAGATTAAGTGATAATAAAATCTATAATTTATTAATGATAGTATTTCATTTTTGTTTAGTATCTATATTTATATATTGATGAAATAGCACCATGTCAATCACATGTTATTGTTGGTTGGATGTCAATGATATCTGCATCGGCTGAAGTCATAGCTCTCTTTCTTGCTTCACGAATGCTTAGATTATTAGGTATGAATACAGCTTCAATAATTATTTTGATAGCATTTGCAATCCGATTTGCTGGTTATTATTTTATTCGTCGACCTTATTTTCTATTAATTATGGAAACAATGCATTATTTTAATTTTGGTATTCTCTATGTACTCATTGCTCAAAAAGCAGATTCCATTGGTACATAAGAAATATTTTCTTATGAGAAGAAAAAAAAAACAAAATTTTCTTTTTGTTATTATAGCACCACCAGGACTTGCTGGTACATTACAAGGTGTTGTCTATGGAGTTTCATTTGGTTTAGGTATGATATTTTAAATAAAAATCTTTTGAATATTTTTATTATTAAAAACTTATAACTATAGGTCGTGGTATTGGTTTGATCGCTTCCTCAATTATTTATACACGTCTTCAATCAAGACTTTTATTTTTAGTATTTGCATTGTTTGATACAATAGCTGCCTTAATCTATAGTACTTATTTTCTTTTGCAAGCAAAATTCTCAAAGAAATCTGCTCAATTGAATAATACTATGAATATACCAAAAATTGTTATTGAGTCAGGTGAATATATAAAAAAAAAATTTTTTTTTTGTTATATATTTTCAAATTAAATAATTTATTTATTTTTTTCTATAGAAACAATTATAAACGAAGAACCTTTATTAATTTCATCATCAACAAATAAAATAGACAATAAAATTATCGAACAATAGAAACAAAAAGAATTCTCTTCATCGAAAAGGTCAATTATTATTTTTCCGATTCAGATATCTCGAGAGAGTAATGATGATGATATACGTATAGCAAGCATCCTTCTGCTTATTAATGTTTTGTTAATGCATTTCTTTTTTTTGTTTCTGTATCCTTCCGTTGACGTTCTATATCTGTGTTATTGTAATTCTATAACAAAAATAGATAGACAACCAAACAGACCAGAAGAGACATTTTAGAGTGATATCTTACCCGTTATTGTTTTCTTTTCGTTTCTTTTTTTTTTTTTTTTTTTTTGAACAAGTTTATTTTTTTTTCATTTCCGTATTTTAATCATTTGTTTGTTACTGTGTTCAGAACAAAATAATAAATCAATCGATATAAAACTATCAGCAGATAAATTTTATCAGATGTTAAATTTGACGAACACTTTTAATTTATTTCAATATGCATAAGAAATTATCCAAAACGAAATCAGAATATATTATGCAATAAAACTTCAAATTTTTTTGTTTCATAATACTTAAAAATGTATTCTACTCTGATGAGATTTGAATGTTAATCATTGCAATACAAAGAAGACACATTAGGGAGATGCAAAAAAAAACTCTTCTAATAGTTTTGTAATACAACGAACAACTCAAATGTCATGCTACTAATGTAGGCATATCGCAATACCAATATGGCATTGGCATTGATAATAGAAGGTCGCGTATACTATAATTTAAAGAGATTTATCATATTCAGGTCAAATAAACATTCTTATTGCGAAGATAACTAATTTTAAATATCAACTGTTCATAACATATACGAATCGTGATATTTGAATTTCAAAGTATTTACAGTCTATGTCATGTCTCCACACTTCAAAATTACGGTAGCATTTATTTTCGTTTTTGTCATTATGATTGAATAGAGCTCGATGATTTACATAAGAAAAAACAGTATCACACATATTTGAGAGCTATTTTACAACAGTTATAATTTTATATTTATTACGCTTATATTTACGAGAAACAGGACATTCGCCGTGTTGATTTTTGAGAGCATTTGTTTGCTTTAAATACAGTCGATATAATGATTGCCGTAATTAACACACCCACATAATTACTGTGTGAGAATGAAGGTTGCATCTAATGTGAGGAGATATTCTTTCGATACTTGTTGAAAGTCTATGACGAAATTCATATTTCTCTAAATATAAGAGTAATAAACATAAAATTATAACTGTCATAAAATAATTCTTGAATATATGACATAGACTGTGAATACCTTGAAATTCGAATATCACGGTCCATGCACACTATGAACAGCTCATATTTAAAACTATATAGTTAGTATGGCAGTGAGAGTATTCATTTGATCTGAATATGATCAGCCTCGTTAACTTACAGTATGTGACCTTCTATTGTAAGTGGTATTTGTATTGGCTAATGTTTGTATTCACAGTAATTAATACTAAATATCACTCAATACCAAATGGTATTAGTCTTGTGACATGCCTAACTAAATCCTTTTATAATCAGTGACATTTTATCGATAAAAGAAGTTTTCAAAATAGAAAATTTGATCGATAAATAATGATAAACTATTGCAAAACTCTAGAGATTTAATTACAGTTGGCAATTCTATAATAATCAATTCGAATAACATGTTTAATCAGTGAAACTAGCTACTATTGTCTTTCTTTCAGTTTTTGCATGATTTGAAAAAAAAAGATAAATGACTTTTGATGTTTAACGATTGACAATATCTACTACTGATATCAATGTCATTTGAAATTTTCACATAAAAAAAGATGTTAAAACACCGAATAATCATAACAAATTTTTCAGAAAATCAAGCCATTAGTTTTTCAGTGCCTACAACTCGAGCATAAAATCTGCTCCTATCATATGAAATAGTAGAGCGAATCAATCTCTACAAAATGAGATATTCCCGAGCTGTTTACAAGGTTTTTTCCGTTAAATTACATAAGATTTATAGAAGGACTGAGATGGAATTTTTGTCAAATCATTCTCTGCCAATGATCGCTAGAATAACTAAACAAAAATACGCCTAAGATTTAATGAAATATAAAAAACACAAAACAAAAAAAAAATACTTTATATCAAAAGAAGAATCCATATACAATCAAACAAATAAGCCTTTTCAAACATTCTTCACCATATTTTATTTCTTTTTTTAATAAAATTTATCAAAAATTCTTTTATTGCAAATAAAACAGCGGTTTCAGAAGAGTCACCGATAAAATAACTTTATAAATAGAATATTAGCCTGTCTAATGTACTAATGATGTGGTCTAGTACACCGAGGATTCATATTTTTACATAGAGCTATTTGATTGGTCCAATTACCGTGTGGTGAAGAAAGGGGACTTAAGGACATATTAGGCCTTGATTTCTTTTCTTCGAGTACATTATTGAGTAGGCAAAAGCAATATCAATTTCAAGTGATTGTAGTAAGAGAAAAAAAGAAGGAAGTAAATCTATGAAAAACAATGTTAAAAGAATACGTGTGTTTTTGACACATCTTGTTAACTAAACATTTACTTTACTTTGAGCCATTTTATAACCTTTTCATTGTCAGTTGTATGTGTTAGTAAGCGCAATTCGTCGAATTATCGTGAAACTTTCGAAATATATCCAGCTCAGTAATAATCTTCTTCATCGATTAATATCATACAGAAATTCTGAAAGATTTCTATTGAGTGTAGCTAGAGAATATTTCGTTTCAAAAATTTCAATTTTTTCAAAATTATCTATTTGGTATCTATTTGGTAGGTCCGATATTTCGAAGATGGAGAGACAAAAAAAAAATATTCTTTTTACTAGTTAACAGTTCATGAAGTTCACTACAAAAAATGTTCTTATCATTTTCAAATCTCATGCTTCCTTTATTCTCTGCAATCGTTCTACAAATAATCACTCCAGTGATCAACAGGAAGTAAAGAGTTAATTTACTATTCTTTAAAAATGAATCGTTGTTAATTTCAAAAATTCAATTTTTTCTTGATAATATAATATCATCAGATAACTTTTTTTAATTCCATTATTATTCTATCATATTTTTTCATACGAATTAAATCAATTGGTTTTTTACAATATTCGAGAGAAAAACGGCAGACTTCACTATATACTAAGGACATACGAAAAGTAATGATTTTAGCAGATAAAAGCTCATAAGAAAGAGATAATCAAGTTTTTGTTCTAGTAAGTATTTGAGCTAGTAACCATACATAATTACACATAATCAATTTGTTTGAAGACATTTATTGAAAGTATTTTTGATCAAAAAACTCATCATTTCAATTACAGTACTCAATACGCCAAATACATGAAGCAATAGTAAGTAACAAACTCTGGATGCTTCACACATAAATCAGTTTAGATTCTTTGAACTATAATCGAATCTCAAAACAAGGTTTCGTATCTTTTCTAAAGACAACTAGTCAAATACTATGTAAAAAAACAAACTAACAAATATGAAAAGAAACAAGACTTCTAATCATCAATGTTATATCAATCATTTCTTAAAACTACTTATTAATTGCATGACAAGACAAAAATCATCGGCTACACCTCAAGACATCAACATCAAACTATATATTCATAAAGAAGATTTTACAATAAAACATCTCTATGCGAGCATCTTCTTATACTGAACTGTCATGCGTCCGCCCAAACGAACTTCCGATGTGGGCATAGGTGTGGAAGAAAAAAAGATCCACACCTACACCCACACTGAGAATCTCCTAATAATGAGAAACTCGATAAACTGAGCGCTTTTGGTCAGTTCCGATTGTGCTCACATTAGAGAAGTTTTCCTGTCTTATCATCTTACATCAGAATCTAACATAATTATTTTATATCCGCCTTATTCTACTGATACAGTACTAAAGTATTTTTCAGATGCTTGATCTAATTGATGAAATTCATCCATCAAACAGCTCTGAATCACAGTATGGAGTGCCGTAATTAAGATAATGAATTTTTTAATTAAGGATTATTTTAAAAAAAAAACTTCAGCTAATTGATTGTGCTTGATTAAGCATATCTACCTTAGTATGCCATAAAAGTATTAAAAGCTAGAGCTTAAAGATTTTAAGATTGAAGTCTCTGCTATTTCCTGTTCGACAATCTCTATGTTCGAATTCTTTTTTATACCATTAACAAATTATTCTTTATGTTTACTTAATTCAATATTAGTAAACTGAATTTTAAATAATTACTTCAGCATGATTATGATTGTTAACTAAACATAAATAAATCATAGTTGGTGCACAAACACCACATTCATGATTTGTATTTATCAAAAACAAAAAAAGTTAATATTAGTATGACAAGAAAAAACAAAACATTTCACAACTTCTAATAAAACATTCTCAATATAATATATTAAGAAGAAAAACAAAATAAAATATCACAGATCGATATGATTAAGATTCTAAAAATAAATACATAAACAATCATTTGAAATTTAATTTTTAATTTTTACCTCTAAACGATGACAAACACAATTATCTTTTTTTATATGACTTTCATCAAATTCATGTTGAACTAATTCCATATCTGAAGAGATTTTAATTGGTGATATTAAACGTTTAGCATATTCTTGTAAAACTTGTACATGATAACAAAGAATATGATTAGGAAGAAGATTTCGTTGAGTAAATCGTTGTGCACGTTTTACTATTTGTTGTGCCTCAACAGAAAAATTAAAAAAATATATTCAATAAAAATTCATAAGATTTTATCTATTATCATACTTCATCATCATGATCTTTTGCCCATTGAATTTTTTCAATTAAATCTGATAAATCTTTTTTTATTGGTATATAATGTTTATATGGTATAAGATCTCGATAGAAATGTTCATAATATGAACTTGTTTGTTTAAATATAAGTCCATCACCAGCTAATAAATAAGGCAATCGATATGAAGCAACTGTTCCATCAAGTGATATTTGATATTTATAATCAAAAAATTTTGTCATTGGAATATATTCAGCAAATGGTTCAAATTCAGATTTTTGATCACGAAAGAAAAACATTCGTGTTAAGTTAGCATCAATTAAATCTGGATATTTTTTTGATAGACGAACAAGATTAAGACGTTCCTTAAGAAAAATAGATTATAGATTAACACAGAAAACAAACATGCCAATTACTTGACAACTATCACGACCACGAAAAAATCCTTTTGGAATCTTTTTTGGCCATGGTAAATGATGTGTTGTACGCAAAGCAAATATATCAAGTGTTGTTCGAGAAAGCATTTGAAGCGTAGCTTCTGTTATTTCATAAGTAGGTAGAATAATATCGTGTGTTTGTTCTGATCCACACCAAGATATAATTGGTATTGGATCATCATCATTGCTTAATGGATAGTCACCCAAATTCATTAAAAATTCTATATCAGGTAAAATAATCTAAAGTAAATTTTATCTTTATTTTGAATATTTCTATTATATTTTACTTTTCGAGAAAGAGATAATAAAACTGCATCGGAAAATGTTTTAAATCCAATATGTTCACCATAACATTTTCGATAAATCTATTCAATAAAGAAAACCAAAAAAGAAAAAAAAATAACAATAATAATAAAGAATATTTTATTTTTTTGTTTTACTTTATTATTTTTAATAACATAATGACAAAGTGCATAAGTTTGAGGATATTGAAAATATTTTTCTTTTGCTTTATTAATTATTTTATTCATATCAATTTTATTAAATAATTTTAAATCTTCACGTAATTGTGATATTGATAATGATGATGATGAACATTCTAATGAATTAAACCATTCTGTTAAATTTTTTTGTGGACAATAACAACCATCAGAATAAATATAACCTTTAACAATATGTTCAATATCTTCATTTCCAAATCGAATATATAAATGAAGATTTTCTACAGATTCATAAAGACGATATCGAAATAAATAAGTACCATCATTAAGATCATCAATTTTACGATAACTATGAACAGATAATTGATCAGATACACGAGTTAAATGAAATATTATATGATCAACAGATTGACTTGAATAATTAAGTCTAAATATGAATTACATTATTTTTCTTTTTTAGTGAATAAAAGATTTCAATGAAATTCTATACTTATGTCCTTTTGAATCATAAGATTGTAAATAAAAATAACGAACAGGTACTTGAAATGATGCTCGAAGACCAGGTCCATAAAGACGAGATTGAGTAGAAACAGAAGTTATTGATATTAAATGAATAATTAGCACGAATAACATTTTTGTTCTGGAAGGAAAAAGATCTATCTGAAAACTCGTTCATTCATTCATTAACTCGTACACTTCTAGTGATTCATCAACATGTAAAACTAAACAAAATACAAAGAGGGCACCACTGGATGATATTTTTCAACAACAACTATTTCATTTATGAAGATTTCAAATATTAAAATTTACAATTGAAAAGTTAACGAATTCAAATATACTTCTATAATTCTTCATTTGGTGTCCTGCAGGACAAATTTTTGAATCGTTCCGAATTGTTTTTTTCGAATTGTCTCGTTGACTGAAAAGGCGTCTGAGTGTACAAAGTGCAGTAGCCGATCTATTGCTTTTTACTTGCTTAGTTGCCATGACAAGTTGTTTTTTCTTCTTCTCGGCGCGTTAATCATGATTCAAACCAGCCACTCGTTCTTCAACCGTATAACCAGCATTTTTTTCGAAATGAGAAAAAGTTTGCTGAGTTGATGACAATGTGACGAGTGCACATCTGAAATCCATTGATTATTAAACTTAATTTCATTCGGAGAGCTATGCGACTGAAATTTCTTATGATTTCCTCTACGGAAGTCTAAGATTTAGAAATAGCAAATGTCGGATAGAATTGCTGTTCTTTTTTCTGTTATTTATTTAAATATTAAGGCATTTGTTAGAAATAAAAGGTTTCAAGTGTACGACAAATTTTGATATAAGGATAGAAAATTTAGGACAATTCCATTGGTCCTGCAGGATGAGGCATATAATTTTTCGACGTTCGGGACAGTCCTGCAGCATTCTACTTATTTCGGATAAATCTTAGTCTAATTAAGTACCTTTCCATTCTTCAGAAAAATCAATATTTAGTCAAATTTATCGGTTTTATGACTTATAGCTCGTCAAATAGAACAATATATCTACTCTCCAATTTACTATGATGAATGGATTTTATGATGAGATTTAAGGATATTTCATAGGCTTTTCTGAATCCTCGTACTGAAGAAAATAACATTTTTTTTCTAAAAGATTTTGATTTTTAAAGTTTTTCAAGCTTCTCTAGTGACTTTTGGCAATAATTGATATGATTATCATGCATTGCTAATTACGATAAGTGAGTACAACACTCAGACATGAAAAATCATAGAATGGAATGAAATTACTAAACACTAATTCATAACTAAATCTACATTATGAGAACAAGTAGTCAAAGATTTTTCACTATTATTTCACCAATGTAAAATAGCTTATAAATCTCTGTTTATTTGTTTGTTTTTAATACAGTTTGCTTTATAACATTCTCAATCATGATAAGTATAATATGCTTTGAAGTATTTTAGGTGTTTGGAAAATACTACTTCTGTATGATATACATTGATTTAGATGAATTTATCGTTTTTTTTTAACGGGTGATTTTTGTTGATATCTCGTTGGACGTAATATGTTCATGTGATAACAAATAAAATTCTCTTGTACATCTTTATATGCATCCATCTGATTCGTTCTAATCGTTGATCTATGACAAATTGATCGAAGATTCTTTTTTATATCAATTTATAGAGAACAATGTGTTGAAACTACTTTTGCATTGTTCTTACAACAGGGTTTTTGATTTTGACGTTTCCGTGCGTACCAGATTTCTTCACCATTTTAAATGCTAGAAAGCTGGGCTTGATGTCAAGATGAAGGCAAAAATCAGTTCTACAACTTAACAGAGCCAGGTTCTTTTTGACTTTCCCATTAATATTTACTAAAAGCTAACCATTCTAGACATATACTCCCCAATTTTTTCGTACTTTATCAGAGGAACTTTCGAAAAACATAAATCAGGAAAAGTCAATGGATTGGGTCCTATTAAGCTGTAGCATCATGTTTTGGCTACAATTAAAAATCAACCCGAACTTTCCGGCATTTGAAATGGCAGAAGAATTTGGGACACACGAACACCTATATTCTGACCGTAATCTTAAACTAACCTTTCTTCGTAGACTTAGTGCATCGAGCTGAAATTTTTTCTGTGAGGTACCTAGCTCGAGACACACCTCTACTGGAAGTGTCATAAATATGGATCTCGAAAAAAATTTGTTTAAGGGATAGTCTCTTCAGCAAAATTAAATATTGATTACTAATCAACAGCCTAGTCATCTATCGTTATTTCAATTTCATATCATAATTCAATGAGCATACAACATTTCTTTTTGTTGAATCGACTTGTATTACCGAAAATGATACTTTCAAATTGCTTCAAAAACAGTTTTGTATATGAAAAAATTTTTTTCCTCACTTGAACTTTCTTCATAATTTAAGAGTTCTGAAATCGTACTCTTTCAAAATAAATTTATTCATTTCAATGATTTAAAAAATAAAATTCAATATTGATAGTTTCCAATCATCTGAAAATATTTATTGTTCATATGTATATATTCTTTAAAAAAAACAACAAAGATATACTACAATATAAACATCAACACAAATAAAATAGTACTAGAATAAATAAAAGAGTTCTCGGTTAATTTCGTTACTTTATTACACATATCTTGATCTGAACAAAAACAAATTTCTATGGATTTTTTATTTTCTTTTATAATTTTTCGACAACCATTTGATGTATTAATACCCATTTCAGCTGTTCGTAATAATTCATCAGTTGAAAAACATCGACGACTTGATTTTAATGATGATAAAGCGGCATCTTTTAATTTTAATCGTTCTTGACTATTATTACCTAATCGTTTTATATCAAGTAAATCAACGGATTTCCAACATTTTCCATCACAATCTTGTAATGTATGTTCAGTAAAATCAAATTGTGCTTGACAATCTTAAATAAAATTTAAATGAATATATAATAATCAATAAATAAAATTTTACATACCATCTTGAAATACTCCTAGTTCTTCTGATGATTCAATTGTAACTTCACATTTCCAACATTGTAATGAAAATTCACGAGAATTAATTTGATCAAAAATATTGAAAAGATATAATATCAATAATAACAATTTACTTGTCATCTTCCATTCATCAACAATAGATCGAACTCAATAACATACATAGAAATGAATAGATTGTATATAGATTTGTTTACTCAAGAATAGTGCTCATCTTTTTTTCTTCTTTCTCTTGTGTTTGGTCGGTCATTTATATCTTCTATCGATCAAATCTAAAGGTGACAAGCTCATCCGTTCATCCCTCTTTCTTTTTTTTTCTCTTTTTCTTTCTTCACTATTGATGAAATCTTCTTGTCATCTGCTTTGTATTCAATATGTGTATTAAAGTAAAAATAATGAAAGTATTTCGTTAAATAAACATCAGATTGTCTTTTTTTTACACACAATATTTGTCAAGCATATATAATGAAAAGAAAAAAAAATTCACTCGTATTCATTTTTAATATACTGTTCTTCTTGTATTTCATATATATTCAATATTTATTACTTTTAAAGTATCTAGCTTTATAAAGTATGTAATGATTATGAATTTCTATAGTTCTCTCATGTATGAGACATTTGCTTCATCAAATATCATTGTGTAATATTGATTAACTCGAATATTAATATTTGAAAGTCTTTTGTACACAAAGAGATTTTTTGTATCATTTATTATTAGAAGATAGCCATATAAAGAAAATATAATGATGAAAAATGAAAGTTGATAGAAAATTAGTATTTATAAAAAAGAACTTTATGATTCTTATTTAGAGAAGTATAAATATAAATATTTCTTCAACATCAAAAAAGAAATTTTTAAATGAATATATCTTCTATTTTATTTTAATTTTAACAGAAGCTTACGAAGGAACATTTTTAAGTGTCAAATCGCTTTTAGGTCACAACTATGCGTATCTAATAAACTATGCATATCCTGAAAAGAATTCAGACTAATAGCTTGTTACTGTCGAGATGCTATACTTTTTAGCAGAATGTCATAGTCTACTTCAGGAATATAAGGAAAACTGAATTTCGAATTTCAACTTGAAACATCGCATAGAGACACGCCTTAACAAGAACAGCTTATTGTGAAAGTTTCAGATTTTTCAATTGCTCCTATTCTGAAATAAGAACATCGGAATTTGCCGTTGTGTATATGAACAACGTGAAAAACATGTTTTTCCCATAGCCGTATCTTTGGATAGAAGCTAAAAAGCTATTGTCGTAGATGAATTGTTCTAACTGCAGCTGCCTTTGTCATCATTTTCAAATCCGCTTTTAGTTAAATGTGGTCTAAGAAATTGTAAGTCAAACCTAGAAGCTTGAGCTGCTCTCTACGTATCATTGCATGGTTACAAAATCACTTATCCGAATGCTCAGTATATATAGAAATCAATGAAAATAAATCTAATTGCTTTTCATATTTCAAATGATTAAAGATCTTTAATTTATTGCAAAAGTAATATCATATTGAGCAAGTTCTCAAATTCAAGTCTCTTGATGTTATTATTGATGCTAGATTAGCTTTTATTTTTCACTTCGATTACATCATGTCAGAAATTCATAAAAACATTACATTATTGAAACAGTTATCGACCAGTCGTATATTATCAAAAGAAATTTCCTATAGATTATATGATGTATGTATTCGTTCATACTATTAATTGATTTTGATTATTTATCGAATTTTATCTAAAACTAAAAATGAACAATTGGAAGAATTAAATCAAAAAATATTTCGCATTATACATAGATAGTATGATACTACAAATGATGAAATAACTAGTCGGAACTACTCATGCATTTACATTTCATAAAATTATTAATAACAATTATTTGTAGCAATTCCTCGTTCATGATTGATTTTATTCATCAAAAATTACATATATGTTGTTCTTAGAAGAGTACTGTCTAAATCTTGTTCTTTCGAAGGAAGAGCATTAAATCGTATACGTCAGCTATCGATGTCTAATAATCATTCTTGTTTGATTCTTTTGCATAAAATCAAAAAACAAAAATGTTAACTTGTATATTGACATTCGATTTCTATTGTGTTCATGTTGTTACCTATCATTACTATAATTATTCTGGGTGACGATCAGTAACGATAAAACTATATATCACGTTGTTCTTTTTTTCCCAAATATCATTATCTGAATTGTATTCTTTTTTCCGCTTGTATTCGTAGAGTATGAACGTATTGTTACTTGGGTTTCTGTAAAACTATGGAGGCGATGTTCGTCTAAGTCTACCTTCTTCTCTTTTTCTCATCTTCTTATGATATATAAAACAATCTATTACTATCGGCAGATTATTCTCAGGTACCGACGAAGGTAAAACAAAAGAACAGCGTGATTGTTATGATCAGTACTTACTCAAGATGTGAGTTGGAAGATGGTGCTAGCAACTAATTATGTGTTAGAATTTCTACATCGATAAGATGATATGCAAACATGAATCTAGAGTACACCATACTCACGAAATCATATTAAAATAGGATACATGTGAGAGCTGAAGCTATAGTTGAATATGAACAAGTCATATTTTTAATAGGAAAAAAGCGAGATTAATACGAAAAAAAAAACATAATCTAATGTTCATGTGGTGATGAGCCTGATAAGTCTGACTTGAGAAGATCATTATTATTATTTTTTCTTTTCTTCCGCGACAAACGGGTTCGCCAACAAAGATGAGCAAGAGACTTGATTGTATCAATTAATGATCTTATTTTGGAAATGGTTTAAAAAAATGACTCATAACCACATCCCATTCACATCCTGGATTCACTGTCAATGATATTCCTTCCGAAACCTGAGATGATAATGCAGCAGCATGAATTGTGGCAAGCATTGATCGAATAATTATTATTTAAAACGACATATACAATTCATGACTATGATACAGACGAACATAAACTATCAATGTGGTCGATAGAAATTTTCTTTGAAATACATATCTAATTCGATGCAAATTGGTGAATTTCTTATTTGACAAAACCGAAATCCGAATTAACCTATGCGTGTTTGTAATAAAATTCTCAAAAAATTCTGTAATTGCATTTAATGTTGTTTTGTCGAACATGATGGATAAAATATTTACCGTTGTGCCAGTTCTATCGAAACCAACATATACAATCTCTAAGATTTAATCAAATAATGAGATTTGCCTACAATAAATATTAGTGTATATTTGCTTTTCAAAGACAGAAGTGTTTCATTGATAATATTTATTGTCATTATAAAACCTTCAGATAAAACTTTTTTCTAAGATATTTTTCAATAGATGCTTTTACGTTGTTTTATTCTGTGAGGATAGTAATGACACTTTCTATTTTATAACTGTGCTCCTACTTGCTGTCTCACACTGCACATAATCATAATTTCACATTGATAATAACCATAAAATTTTTTGTAACAAACAATATAAAAGAAACTCTATTTAAAACAAAGACACTTTTATTACAGTCATACAAATATCAAACTACTTCCTTTGAAATTCATCATCATGTGCCTTTCAAAATTAACTTCTACATGTACGTTTATTCTACTTATAGGAGTTGCTATATTAGTAGTAATTTCAATTGCATTAAATGCTGCTATTTTGAGTATAATTAATAAACGATTTGATGAACTTAAACCTGAGAATGGTCAAATGACAAGCACGACTCGACCATCAATTTATTTTAATTTGGCTGATTCAATTCGTATTGAAGATTTAATGAATCATCTTAATGAGTTACAACGTATTGCTAATAATGCAGGAGATACTCGTGCTATTGGAACTCGTGGATTTACAGAAACAGTTAATTATATCCATAATTATCTACGTAATAATGCTCCTACTTTAAATGTTTTTCGAGAATCATTACCGATACAAAATTTTACAATTAAAGGAAATCCAATATTGATTTCAACTATCAATAATACTAATAAAACATTTACTTATTCAACTAATTTAGCAAGATCTGATTTTACATATGTCAATTATTCAGCTCAAATCACTTTAACAAAATTTAATTTAATAGTCGTTCCTAATTATGGATGTGATGAATTCGATTGGCAAAATGTAGCAGGTCGAGCAGCATTAGTAGTAGTAGGAGGTACATGTACTAATGCTGAAAAAGGTGAGTTAGCCAATAAATATAATGCATTGGCTTTGTTGTATTACAATAATGGCTTGACAACTACGAATCTTGCACCTGTTATTATACGTCTTCGTCAAACAAATAAATTACCAGCACTCTATCTTTCTTATGTTGCTGGCCAAGAATTAGTCAATGCAGCTAATTTAAATAATGTGAGTATTTGGCTTCAGATTGAACGTGAAAATTACACATCATTCATCGTTGAAAATATCTGTGCTGATACAAAAGAAGGCAATATTAATGAAACTATTGTTGTGGGTGGTCATAGCGATAGTGTACCTGCTGGACCAGGAATTAATGATAATGGTTAGTATTAAGTTTCTTTTTGCCAGTTTGCATTTTTTTTTGTCCCATATTTTAGAACTATAGTCAAATAAATGCTGATATTCATCCTAAAATTTATAATTTTTTTAAAATAACTATAAATGCAAATCGAAAAACTGCGTGCTCCCTTGACCATGAAAAATGTACGAGAAAAATTTCTTTTACTACTTCATCATAAAAGATAAATATATTATACATAGAGCGTAGAATAATTAAATAGCGGCTGATAGAGAAATAGCTAAGCGCTGCCTTCTGAAATTTGATATTATCTTTGGATATGAAAGTTCTCTTAGATTTTGTAGACAGACTATAGATTCTGTAAAAATTCGTTTCATTTCTTGATAGAAACATATTGTGGAAGGCATAAGTTTAGAAGGATTGTATTTTTAAGATTTCTTGTCAATGGTAACAGCTAGCAAGAATCAGAAAAAAAACATTTGCGTAACTGAAAGGATTCTCTATTAGGATTGATAGGTCTGAAACTTTCAACAAAACTGCTTAGATAAAGGTCTGTTGAAAACCAAGACCTTCAAAACCAGTTTTCTGGCTTCCATGCGAAGCTTAGTGGAAATTATTTTATTTGATAGAGCAAATAATTCTGAGAAAAATAAAATGTCTCGGTACTCTTCATGCGTTCTTTCATCGAACTATATTCAATTTACTAAAGGCTCAAGAAACATTTTTCTCTTGTTTTTTCTTTTTATTGAAAATTTCAATGTTTTTACCATGTTTGACGTTTTGCAGTTTTCTATGAATTGAATGCACTTTTTCCAAAACCTTTGAATGAAAGCCAGAAAACTGATTTCGAAGATATCGATTTTCTGTAGACTCTCATCCAAGCAGTTTTGCTGAAATCTACAGGCCTACCAATTCTGATAGAGAATCCTTTCAACTACACAAAGTGGTTCTTTAGAATCTTGTTAAATGTATTACCATCGAGAAGGAAATTTAAAAATACAGCTGCTCGAAACTTTTGTCCACCATTCTATGTCTTTTAAACGTTGACCTTCCAATTATTTCTTTTGATATCAAGGTCCTTGTTTGTTTCTAAAAACAAATTTTCCATTTTTCAATAATTCAGGTAGCGGAACAATGGCTATTCTGGTTTTGGCGACGAATTTGGCTCGTCTCTATCAATCTGGAAATTATGCTAAATATAGATATCGTGTTCGATTCTGTTGGTGGGCTGCTGAAGAAATTGGACTTGTTGGATCAGTTTATCATGCTCAACAAGCTCAAACTTCATCTGCTACTCCTGGCAATCGTCTTCAAGATTATCTAATTAATCTTAATTATGATATGCTTGGATCACCTAATTATATTTTGGGTATCTATAATGGTAGTTCAGCAAAGCCAGGTACTCCATCATGGGCAATCAATGGAAGTGTTCGAATTTCTGATGTATTTCGTAGTTGGTTTATTGAAAAAAATTTACCTTGGGATTTTACTGATTTTAGTGGTCGAAGTGATTATGGTCCATTTTTAGCAGCTGGCATAGTTGCAAATGGACTTTTTTCCGGTGCCGACGAGACTAAAACAGCTGAACAACGTAATAGATATGAAGAAAAACTTGGTCAAGGTCAAGGTGGTTTAGCAGGTGCAATTCTTGATCCTTGTTATCATAGAGTATGTGATACAACTGATAATATAAATCAATTGGGTTATGAAAAGATGGTTCAAGCAGCAGCATATATGCTCGAATATTTAGGTCAAAAAGATGATTTACCAACATGGTTATATCCAGCAGGACGACCAAAACCTCGATTACCAGACGATTATTTTCCTAATAGTGATTATTTTCGAGATATTGATATTTAGTTGAACAATTACGTTTTACTTAAATGAACAAAATATCTTTGTCTTTTGTTCGAATAATTATCTGATTTGAGGAAATATATTTTTTTTTACAAAGAACGAGATAATTTCAATGTAAAAGATCATAAGAAAAAAAACGGAAAATAAAGTTTGTACATACGTAAATATATCAAGAAAAGCTATTTATTTTTATTGATGTACTCTAAAGTTATACATTTTCTCTTTATATATTGAAGGTCATTTTTTTTCGAAACAATATGATTATGTATATGGCTGAGATACTTGAATGTATTACTTGAAAACTTGAGATTATCAGTATCATATGAATAGATCGAAAGCTATCGGTTAATTTCAGTGATTTTCATAATCAACTATTAGTTGTGATTATTTCCTTTGTTGTGAAGTTTTTACAATGTAAAATGTGACGGTTAACTATAATTAACCAGACAAGAAATGAGTCAGTTGGAGGTGACTGATTAGTTATCTCGTTAACTATAATTAACCGTGAGTTTTGACATTGTAAAACGTTGCAAAGAAAAGTAATAATCACGTTTAATCATGAACAACGAAAATAGTCGGAATTAAACGGCATCTTTCAATCGACTTATAGGACCGTAAACTCCAAAATATCATTGTCATTGTGGCAATCTTAACAGTATGATGCGATTAATTTTAATGCTTTCTGTGACTTTCGAAATGAAATGGTCAAGAAATACAATGGCTAGTAGTTATATACATTTTCATAGTCACAATTTGTTACCAGTTTTTGGTAAAAATTTCCTAACTCATACATGTATTGGTATTTTTTATCAATTTTAATTTTTAAAGTAATATATTATTATTAATGTTAGTGGTCATGTTTTATCTGAAGATATGTACTATCGAACAGTAACTAAAGATCAAATTTTCATATCAAAACATTTATTAACTAAAATAAATAAAATTTTTCGTTGAGATGAACGTATATTTTCTTATGGTTCTACTTCAACTATCGCATTTATTATTAAAGAATTTATATATGATTTAAAACAATAACAAAAAAATATTAACCTAAAATCTTTAATGGCAGATTATTTATTTTTATAACAAATTTTTTTTTGTTTTGTTTTATAGTCTTAGACAAAGCATGTATATATTGTCTATATGAAATTGATGAATCAAGAATAGTATTTGAAGAAACGGTTGTTGTAACATCAGATTTGTTTGGTTTTTAAAACAATATTAGAAATATTTCCAATCCAACGTTATAAAAAAAATCAAGAGTTAGCAAGTCTTGGTTTAGAATTTATATGTCAAAAATTATATCTTTTACAGTTATCATTACCAACTATTTATTATCGATATAACAACATTAGATACTCGAAAACTTTCAAGTAAACTTAATGATAAGGCAAAAAAATTCTTAAAACAATCAAACCATGATACATTTTAGTTGTGATATATTTTTTTCTATTATCTATGAAATTTTCAGCTTGTTATTATATTTTTTTTATTTTTTTTTTTGTAAATATAATGAAGAACTCTGGTTTTTTTTTTCTGTTTATATATAATATAATATGCCTGAACTTCCTAGTGAGAAAAAATTCAGAGTTATTTTTTGTTTTTATTTAATCTTTATCTTATCAATAGAAATCGAATATGCTTAAAGATTATTAGCTCGTTTTTTTCAATTCGAACATATATTGAAAAAATTTCTTATCCTGATGCTAATGTTTTATCAAAATATTTTATAAATTGTATATCAACAACATTTACTGATGGATTTATTAATCGAAAAATTCTTGATATAAAACGACATGGAAAATATTTATGGTTTGAAATGACTAATTGAAAACCTTTAACATCTATATTTCATTTTGAAATGTCAAAAGATTTCTGTGTAAAATCAGCATCTGATGTTACTTATTTAAAAGAATTGAAACATGTAAAAATAAAGAGAAAAAGATGAAATCGATGGATAATGTGAATTCTATGCTTGAGGGTGTGGGTGTGCGTATAGTTGAAGGCAATACACACCCCACACCCTCTTTTTCTCGGATAGAAATCTATCTTCTTCAAGTATTACTGTACGAGAGCAACTTATTTTGTTCCTAATTACGACATGTGTTTAACAAGAAAGAAGCGTACTGCTTGATCTATATTTCGAACAAATAATATGTGAAATTATAGTTTATATCGTTCTTGGACTATCACAAAACTGGCAACAAACACAATTATTAATAGTAATGATCAGATTCCGTGGATTCTGAGAGTGTGAATTTCGGTTCTCTGTATCCTCACAGCCACATCCATATTTGAATATCTAACGTATATATCTTTTACATAATTCAAGTGGTTTTATTTGTAAGTGTGTTCCTTAAAGTCTAATTCTCATTAAAAATTACGGAAAAAAAAGATAGTCGACAAGATTTATGATATGCCCGAGTTGTTGCAAAGATCTGCTCCATTTCATGAACAACTTGAACCGTAATTAATATTACTTAAACTTCTAACAACAATATCCATTGTTCGATTATTTGTTTCATTTCCATAATTTCGAATAACTGTATACAAATCTTTTTCAGCATAACAAATTCATAATAAACTTCTGATTTCATTTGTTTGCCTCTATGTATCCTATTCATTAAATAAATTATTACAATTACTAATAAAAACAAAAACAAAAAAAAAATCTAACAAATCTTATTACTATTATAAACATTATTTATTGAAGATATTTTTGTTGTTAATAAATTTTTTAATTTATTCGAAAAATTTTTGCTGTTATTGTTAATTGAAATAATTGTTCAGCAGGTGAACTAGTTTTTGATGTAAATTGTTCAACTATTTGTAACCAACTTAATTGACTGGAACCAGCTGGTGATCTTGTCTATGAACAAAAGAAATATTTTTCTTTTGATTAAACACTGCAAATGTTCGTACTTGATTAAGTATATATTGAATATTTGTTCTCACATTTTGTATTAAATGAAGATGTCCAATAATAAATACTTTTAAACGTACAGATAATACTTCGCAACTATGTTCATATAAAATACGTAATTCTTCTAATAATTAACTATTTAATGCTTCATAAGTTTTTTTTTTTTGAAAGATCAAGTATTATTGTTGAATAATATTTCCTGAAAACAACAACAAAATACGACATTTGCAAATTATTGTTTTTTTTTACTAATCTTTTTCTTCAAATGTCAAATATCGACATTGGTTTTAATATCATCTTTATCTTTCACTTTTCATTGTATTTTGATTCATAAAAGACAAATAAACATGCCATCAAACCAAGTCACTCATGTCGATAATAGCAACAATGTTTCTAAAAATATTAGATATACAAAATTCATTATACTCATCCTTGGCATTGGAATAGTGCTTGGAACGATTATTATTACACTTTCTATCGTTACTTTTATCAAAATTAACACGACATTTCACAAGATTCAAGACAACAATGAAAAACTAACGATCAGTTCAAAATCAGTTCAACAATCATCATCTGACTCCGTTTTGGGTGCATCTATTCGTATTGATGAAGTGATGAGCTATCTTAACGAATTTCAGCGTATTGCTACTGCTTATAATGGAACTCGAGCAGTCAATACACCTGGATTTAATGCAACATTCGACTATATTAACAACTATCTAACTGCTAATACGAATTATAAAATAACAAAGACTTTTTTCTTCTTAAAAGATTTTGCACTTGCAAGTAATCCGATTCTAATTTCATCGATTAATGGTATCAAAACAAACTATACTTATTCAACCAATCCTTCCAGTGCTGAATTTTATCATGTTAAATATTCAACATCGACTAATTTTTCCAACAATATTCAACTTACAGTTATTCCAAATGTAGGCTGTTCAGATGATGATTGGCAAAAAGCGATTCCACCTCCTCAAGGTCGAGTAGCACTTGTCAAACGTGGGATATGTGCATTTCGAGACAAAGCTATACTTGCTACTAAATATAATGTAGCTGCACTTTTGCTATATAATGACGGTACATCACCTAATCATGTTGCACCATTGGAAGTTAATCTTGCTCAAGATAATGCTATACCTGCTCTCTTTCTTTCGTTTACTATTGGTCAAGCTCTTGTGAATGCAGCTCAAAATTCGTCAACAAATACTACTGTGCAGTTAGTTATTAATGTGAAAGATCTGCCTGACTTTCCTGTAGGAAATATTTGTGCTGATACACCAACAGGTAATATTACCCAGACTATCGTCATTGGTAGTCATAGTGATAGTGTAGCAAATGGACCAGGTATCAATGATAATGGTAAGTTCAATATTCAAATAATACTTCTTATATTTCTTTCTTCTATTACAGGTAGTGGTAGTGCAGCTAATCTAGCTCTAGCTGTTGCTCTTGCTCGTCTTTTTCGAACATCAACATATCCCAAATATAAATATCGAGTACGATTTTGTTGGTGGGGTGCCGAAGAACTAGGTCTTGTTGGTTCAGATTTTCATGTCAAACAAGCGAAAAATTCATCTATTATTGGTGAACGTCTTCAAGATTATCTAATTAATCTTAACTATGATACAATTGGTTCACCTAATTATATGTTTGGTATTTATAATGGTCGTGCAGCTAAAAATGATACACCATTACAAGCACTTCCTGGTAGTACAAAAATTACAGATTTATTTCAAAATTGGTTTATTCAGCAGAACTTACCATGGGATTATAGAGATTTGGATGGTCGAAGTGATTATGCTCCATTTTTAGCTGAAGGTATCGTTGCATGTGGATTGTCTGCGGGTACGGATGGTATCAAAACACAAAAACAACGTGATCGATATGATCAAATGCTTGGTCAAGGTTTGGGAGGTATTGCGGGTATTATGTATGATCCTTGTTATCATCAAATTTGTGATTCGATACAAAATATTAATTTGTTTGGTTATGAGAAGATGGTACAAGCAGCTGCTTATGTTTTAGAATTCCTAGGTCGAGAAGATGATTTAAAAACATGGTTATATCCATCTATTGAAATTCAACGCTTCATTGGTCGATCACACAAATCATCACATCTCGAGTACAATTCGATTAACGAATATTTTGGATTGCCTTATTATTAATAAATTATAACATAGACATGATATGACATTATTTTTAAGGAAGAAACTTCTTATACGGATACGTTTAGATCATAATTAAGGCGAGACGTACTTTATAATGATCTTTTTTTTCTCGAATTTCACATCAAAAGTTTATATTTAGTGATGTATTGATCTCGAGAATCACGTATTGTCTGATGCTATTTAATTGAAATGTCATTAGAGATGTTAAGATCTCTATATAATACAAATTTTATTCAATTTTCGGTATGATGTTTCGTTCGATCAAAGTAAAAGCTAGATATTGTAAATTATCTATGGATTTTATTTTCATTATGTCGATATAATGAAGCAACACTAGGTGCTGATCTTAGCAATGATTTATTATCATTCCCAGTAATGATAATCTATCGGCAGCTGAACAGTTGTTCATGGTTGTGAGTGTGAGAGATGTGATTTTGGTGTGTGTGTGTGTGTGGCTGTTATGATTACGCAGGGAAAAAATGCGACAGTGGAAAATATCAAAGTCATTTCTTTATCCAACAATAACTTACAGTAGTAATAGTAAATTTTCATCAATTCAATAGCTACTAAGAGTTTTTATTATTTGTGTAATGTCGAAAAAACCCCAAACCGAAGTTCGAAATGCTTCATACTCTAAGCTGAGCTGAGCTCAGATGTCATCTAGTTTGATCATTAGGTAGATGAATGTTGAGGATAATTGTGTGCAAATATAAGTAACAAATAGAATATTATTGAAATTCTATTTTGTTTTTCGTTCAAATTGATAGCGTTATGTTTCTTCTCATTGCCTTATATTGATTATGTTTTGCTTTTTCTCTTCATGCATATCACCGCATAAAGCGTCCTCTGCATACAAATATATGTCGTAGAGGTGTATTTTTTCCTTCAATCATTATATAGAATCAGCTGTAAATGATTCACTGAAAATAATGTCGAATGATGATGATGATGATGATTATCCATTTCAATGTTTATCTCAAGAAGCTCGAGAACTTTATTTAGAAAGTCATATTTCACGTATTCGTATTCCATCATCACTTGTTTTCTATCGAGATTATGTCAGTCGAAATAAGCCTGTTATTATTCAAGGAGCACTTGATCAATGGTCTGCTTTATCTAAATGGAATACTTCTGAATATTTACGTCATCAACTTGGTGATACACAAGTAACAATTGATATAACTCCTGATGGTTATGGAGATTGTGTTAAATTACATAAATATTTTGTTACACCATTAGAAGAAAAAATGTCTTTTAATCATTTTATGGATATTATTGAAGGAAAAACATCTTTTAATGGTATTGTTTATTGTCAACATCAAAATAGTTCGTTTACAACAGAATTTCAACAATTAAATAATGATATACATGAACTTAGTTGGGTACGAGAAGCATTTGGTTAGTTAGGATTTTATTATTTAATTTTATACTTTTGTTTTTTGTATTTAAAGGAAATCCACCTGATGCTGTCAATCTTTGGATTGGTACATCAAAATCAATATCAACTCTTCATCATGATCCATATGAAAATCTTTATGCTGTTATACGTGGTCGAAAACATTTTACACTTTATCCACCAACAGATCTTTATTGGTTAGATCAAAAATTTTATAAAAAAGCTCATTATGAGCGTTATAATTCTACACAAAAGATTATTGATGATGATGGTATTAATTTAAAAATTAATGAAAATTTTATAATTGTACCTGATGATAATGAAGTTCCATGGTTTGATCATGATAAAAATGATCTTGAACAAAATACATATTTAAATCCATTAAAAATTACTCTTGAATCAAATGAACTTTTATATTTACCATCATTATGGTTTCATACTGTTCAACAAGATTCACCAATGACAATAGCATGTAATTTTTGGTATGATATGGAATATGATATTAAATGGAATTATTATCAATTTATGTCAAATATTATTAAACAAAAAAGAAAATCAGAAGAAAAACGGACATGACTTTCTTTTTTGTTTTTGTTCGTAAATATCAGTGATTTTCTTCCGATAAAACTTAGGTTGTTTTTTCTAGCAAGAAAAAAATATATATATATATATGTTCGTCTTTCTCGTTCTTCATTTCTTTTTCTTTTTCTTTCTTTTCGTTCAATATTAAAATAAAGAGGAACTAAAATATGAAGACAGAACGAGAGAAAAAAGAATATGCGGATAATTGTTTTCTATTGAATTCATACTTATATCCCGATTGTTAGTTTTTCCTCTGTTGGCAGTTGTGAAACGACGAGTGTGATCAACTATTGTCCCATTTAACATAACGTGCTGTAAGAAAAATATGACATTCAAAGGCATGTTAAAGATTTTAATCAATGATTATCGAAAACAACATGTAAGTTATTTGTATTTAAGAAAGAATTCATTTATGAAAATGTATATATTCATTTGGATTGTTTACGAAAATAAGTGTAATTATATGTACTTTCGAAAACATTCTTATTAAGCTTTGAGGGTTATTTATTGATCGAATTTAAGTCATGTTTTAATTCAATGTTATCGTAGACTGTCTACATATTGTTGTCTTTACGTCTATAACAATATATTCATAGAACTTTCAAAAACATATATTGCAAAAGCCTAAAATGATTGACTTTTTCTAATATTTTTTTTTCAAATAGTTCTACAAGATCTGTGAATAGTTATTAAAGATTATTCGGAAATGAGAGTTTCAATTTTTAATATTATCAAAATAGGATTAGTGATGTTTTTATTATTGTTATTATTTTCTTAGGAAGAAAAGATGTTTTCAATTGTTCAAGAACTGATGAAAACACGACGAGAATTACGAGAAGTCAAAGAGCAACTTCGTACTGTAAGTAACTCTTGACAACGATTGTTTTTCTCTCATATAATCTCTTTCTTTTGTTAAGTTACAATTGAATGACACAAAAACATCATCTAATCATAGCAATATTCCAGAAGAGACTATCAGTTTATTTGTTCAATATAATGGATTTTTCAATCAACTACGTGACATTCGTCAAACAATGACTGTTAAAGAACTATTGGTACGTGTTTAAAACTTATTAGTTTTTGTTTTTCTTAAAAAAATAATTATAAGATAGGCCAAAGTTCGACAATTAACTGGAATTCCATGTGATCGTTCAATACGTATTCGTGTACTTAGTGAAGATGGTTTAACAACAGTGTTTCTTCTTTCTAAAGAACTTAATCGAACAATAGAATCATATAATGATTTTTTAAAAGCTCGAATGATTTTAAGTATTGAAGATGATGATCTTGATAATGATGAAAAAAAACATTTCGAACAATCTACAAGTACAACTAATAGTGAACAAACTTATTCATTTGATGAATCTGATGTTTAACAAAACAAAAAAAAGACTTTCATTGTATGCATCTGTATTTTTCATTTCTATATATTCAAATATGCTGGTACATATTCTGAATTATTTCCTTAATCAAATTTCTTGAATAAAATAAATACTAACACGATAAACAATAACTATTATTTTCATCTTCTAAATGTTCGTTTCTACAAAAATAAAAGTATAATTTAAATGCTTTAGTTGTGTTTGCCAAAAAAAGAAAAATATTAAAATTAGAACACAATAGAAATCAAATAGAATTTTTATTGGTAACTGAAAAAAAATAAAATATTCAAATACACGATTGTTCTAGATTTGATTATTATTCTTATTGTTAAATTTATTTTCATTTGAATGTAACACTTGAAAAATTTGTCAAGAAAATTATATCAGAAGATGAAATAAGTCTTACTGTTAATGGGAAATGCTTAGGTGATAAATAGCAAGTCTCAGTTAAATGTAACATAATGTGTCAAAAGAGAAACAAAATCATCTTCCTTCTAAATAGATTCTCACAAAAATAGAAGTGTCAGTCACTATCATGGATAGAAACTTGAACTTGCTTGAACTAGAATTCAATACTTCTTGATAGATATATTTCATAATAGAAAAAGAAAAGCCGAACTAGAGCAATGCCACTTTCATTCTTAATAACATCGGGAATACATGATCCCTAGATAATAGGAAGCGTTAAAACGCTATATATTTTTCTCTCAATTCAAAATAGTCAAAGTTATTAATATGACTCAAAAAGAATATTTAAAAGATATATAATTCTGATTTCATCATATCAAGATTATAGTTATACATCAGTAATAATCTAAATTTTTCTTTTTTGTTTCTTATATGCGTCTCAGAGTATCCGGTTTTTTTTTTGAAAATCATTCTGATTTATTCTAGGTTTGATTTACTCGCCAAAACTAGAATGAATCAGGATCATTTCTAAGAAAAATCAAGGCTCGCTATGGCGCATCTACTTAACACCGATCAGTTTTCACTACAATACAAGACATTTAACTAACATACATATAAAATATCTTTTAGCAGCTATTCTTTTACTTTGTTGATTTCATATTGACTCAGGATATATTTCAGGTTGCACTGATTAACACGTATCGAACAAAATTTATTGACATTACAATAGACATGAAGATTTGAAATTGTTCATGAAAATTATTTTTTATTTTAGAGACAATGAATAAACAGACTGACTCTAGTTACATTTCTTTTGATTAATACACAAAAAGAAATGTTATTTTTCTATACAAAAAAGAAAAATCTTTTTTTTTTTGTCTTTGTTTCTTCACATAATTAATTTGTCTATGTTTGCATTATTTGTTGTTCTTCAATTTTTGTTATTGCTTCAATATTTTCTACTTTTGTAAAATGAAAATCTGTTTGATTTTTCGGATAAAAAATCGAATATCTTCCAGCAATATATGACACAATGGCTAAACTTATACAAGCCAAAACATTTGATAGAATCATTAAACGTGCACTAATACCATTTATTATTGATTGGTGTGTATAAAGAACAACACCTATGAAATGTAATAATACATTAATAAATATGAATAATGATGTTAGATAAAAATATCGTCGAAAAATATTATATAAAACTATTAGAAATACACTTATAGTTGCAAATAATAAAAAGATTATACTAATTATTGTTACAACTATAGCCAAAATATAATGATGATAATTTAATATACATTTAAAACGATTACATTTGTAAAACAGACCATGCCATTGAACTTCACCATCTGATGAATATTCATTAATTGTCCATGACCTAGAAACAGGAAAAAATGAATTGTCTTTTTTTTTTTCTTTAATGAAAAATGAATATTTATTTACTGACGGTGTACATAATGCAACAAAAGTACAAAGTAATGCAAATAAACATAGAAATCCAGCAGTAATTGTCAGAATACGATCATATTTCGTTTTATTTCGAACGACGGTCATCTTTCTTTCTTTTAAAAATATGTATATCAATATTCTTTTCGCAAGTATAAACGAATGTTATATATAACTTATTCATTTTTCTTTGTATTCTCAAGAAGATAAAATGATGACCGATTGGATATTGAATAATACACGTCCGGAATGTTTAGGATCACAATAAGAGAGGGAATATTTCGTCTATTATTGAAATTTAAAAATAGAAGCCAATAAATGAAAAAATTGATCACTGAAATGAAAAAACAAGAATAATTTTTTTTTTGTTTGAATGATAATGAATCTTCGAATATTTAGCTTAATTTTCAACCACCGATAAAACTGGACAGAAGTACAACCTGTCGGATTCAAATTTTTACCACAGCTAGATTATCGAAAAATGATGGAATTTATACTCGAGAAAAGTATTTTAAAAGCAGGTCTTCAGAGATTTTTGAAGGATAGTTGAAAAATCATCGAGTCTGCTTATATTACCGGTCTTACTTTGTCCCATCAAACTGAAATTTTTCCTCAAGGTATCTGGAACAAAATCTGGAGAGGTATTTTTATTTTTTTTGTTTTTTTGTTTTTGAAAAGTTTCAATCTCAATTTTTAATTAAAAATCGAGAAATTAATATTTTTCAAAAAAGCTTAAAAACTACTTATATTGACTCTGCGTAGATCCCATAAAAAAGTCTCTAAAGACCTGCTTTTAAAACGTTTTCCATGAACATAACTCCTATCATTTTCGATAATCTAGTTGTAATAAGTATTTAAACTTGACAGGTTGAACTCTCGCAGAGAAGTAGAAGAGGTGGAATACACTTAAGCTGTTATCAATATCAAAACAATTTCTTATTCTTGCTTCGGTCGAGAGATACGACAAAATGATTTGAGTTAACTTCTTAGGAGTTTTTACTAAATAAAATAAAGGCAATACATTGGAAACTTTATATTTTTGATATTCAACTTAATCAATAGAAAAAAGAAATACTAAGACGATGTGTTTATCAAGAATAAACAACTCTTTTAGAATCATTAAAGGAAATATATTCAGTCAAATTAAATTTTTAAGTATTTAATAAAAAAAAATTCTACAGATTCTTTTTAGATCATAATATCAACAATTCTTGTGTAATCTTTCATCGATTGTTCATTTAACATTTGACAATTGCCGTTTTTAATCCTTCTAGCTTAACGAGTATTTTAGTGAATGTCAAATGTGCTTCTGTAAAAAAAAGAAAAAACGATAACTATGATTATGTCATTTTTTGCTTTTGTTCAATCTGATGAAAGAATGACAATTTTTGTCAGTATTGTGAATTGATATAATCTGTTTAATAGAAACTGTCATTACATTAAATAAGATCATCCTTTACTTGTCCATCATTTCAGATTGATAGAATTCATATGCATTATCATTTGTTTATTTATTCATTTTGATATTATATTTCTGTTATAATAATTTAATGAAAATCATATTTGATATTTCTATAAGATTTTAAATAAAATTAAATCAATATTAAATTTATATATAACTATAAAAATTTATATAATTAAAATTCTATTCGAATACAATATAAATCTTTTTATAGAATAGACTTGAATTAAATTATAATAATCTTATCATAAATTTCATTGCTTCTATTACTATTATTTTCTTTTCGTAGTAAGAAAAAGAAATTCAAGTAATTGATAATGAATAACTATATTGAAAGATATATCATCTTATACATATTTCGTTTTCTTCTTCAAATACATACAATCTAAGCTTATGCATTCATTGTTAGTTCACGTATAGGTAGTATTTCTTTCCTTGTATATGTATGCGTACATCTTAAGATGATAGTCCATACCATATTTCTTATTTGGCAATGACTGAATGGTAGTTGGCAAGCCTGAATACACGCATCGAATTTTGTGTGTGTGTGTTCGTTTACTCCTATCTGATTTTGTTTCTTCTTCTTTTCTTTTTTTTATTTGCTCAGACGCAAGTCTCTTCCCTTTTCTTCTTTACGTTTGTTCGGCAGCAGTGACGACGACCACTACCATCAGTGATTGATTGTGAAATTTGTTGTATGTGTTCTGTTCTTACTACTACTACTCTCTCTCTCTCTCTTTCCTTCTCTTCTTCTTTCTCTTTATACTCTCAAGTAGTACAACTAGCGATGCGCCAGTATGGACCTTCGAGTGTATGTTGATGGTGTTGCGCGCATCATCTGTGATTTGACCCGAACAACTACTGTTCATGATATCATTATTGCACTAGCTCAATATAAAGGTAAAACAGGTCGATATTCATTAATTGAACGTGCACCTGATGGTACACAACGAACATTATCACCAAATGAATTTACATATGAACTTATTAATCATCCTGATTGGTCTTATATATTAAGACAAAATTCATCAAATTCAAATTTATCATATAATCACAAACGTTCGAAAAGTTTAGATGGACGAAAGACACCTGTACAACAACAATCAATTGTTGAAAGTATGTTGATATATATTTTATTACTTTATAGATATAGACAACGTGTGCATATGCATATAAATGACCTTGGATGATAATGCGACTCAATAAGGCACCATATTTTTGAAACAGGACAGGCAAATAGAATTGCATATATATACTTCTTTTTTTTTTCTTTTCTCATTTCTAATCTTGAATATAAATGCCATAAATTTTCTTAAGATACACTATAGTAACTAAAACATGCTTGTACTTCATTTTTTTTTTGTTTTAATTTTCTGTTCAAGACTCTCTATTATTCACCCACTTCTCTCGGTCCAATGCATTATTTTTCATGTAAAAGTTCAAAGCAACATTATTATTATGATCTATTGATACCTCCTTTTTTTCTTGTCGACAGAAGAGGTGGTACCATCAACATGTAATCATACGTGTACATACATATATACACATCACTTAGTATCGAACAACATACATATAGAGCATTGTTTCATCGATTGAACAACACGCGCAAATACAAAATGTCTATGCCAGAAAGAGAAGAATGAAGTTAATATCGAGCACCTTAGGTCTAATCAGCTTGTTGTTTGCATGTTCACTACAAAGATTAGTATAGCATATTAAATTCATTGATGAACAGCTGTTGTCGCTATATATATATATATTTGTCGATCTAAGAATCTTAAACAAAAAAAATATGACGTAATATACGTGACATATGTATTCAAACTATTATTACAGTATTTGATCGAACTTGCACTGAGCAAGATTAAGACAATATATACATATGTATATTATACAGTTCAAATTGCAAGAAGAAAAAAGATACTTCAAGTTTATTTCATTATTCAAATAGGAACTATTCGATTACATCTTCTAATCACAGATAATTTCACAAAAAAAATCAATTGTACGAAAATTTCTTCTGTTTTTTTTTTCTTGTCTTCTAAGTCAATCAAAAAAGTCACTGACTAACAACAACAACAACTATGTACACAATCTACCTTGACACATATTCTAACATGTATAGCCGATAGTTGTTCATACATACATAGATACATAGATACATCCATACATATAATGTAAAGTTCACCTTTGTGCATGTGGAAACAAGAACAGAAAGTGATAGTGATTATAGAGAAGGTTAATGATGTAGGATGACGAAAGTAAATAATCATATAAAATAGATATAGACCAAATATATAGAACAATTTCTTTTCTTTTTCAAGGAACACTAATCATTCACATTTTATTTTAGCACCTTCAGCTGTTACCTCATCATCTTCATCATCAACAAATTCAACATCTGGTCATTTTCGAACAGTAAATAATAATAATAATAATAATAATAATAATAATAATAATAATAATAA